AATTTCTAAAAATTCAACATTTTTTCCTCTCTTTTATGGGATTTAGCTTCATTATTTTTGTACTTTTGAAAAATACTTTACTTATTAAATTGCCTCGACTCATTGGTAAAAAATCTAAAATTATCGAAAATTATCCAAAATTCAAAAATCCGAATTTCTAAAAATTCAACATTTTTTCCTCTCTTTTATGGGATTTAGCTTCATTATTTTTGTGCTTTTGAAAAATACTTTACTTATTAAATTGTCTCGACTCTTTGGTAAAAAATCTAAAATTATCAAAAATTCGAAAAATTTCAAAAATACGTTTTTCTTAAAATTCAACATTTTTTCCTCCCTTTTATGGGATTTAGCTTCATTATTTTTGTGCTTTTGGAAAATACTTTACTTATTAAATTGTCTCGATTCTTTGGTAAAAAATCTAAAATTATCACAAATTCGAAAAATTTTAAAAATACGTTTTTCTTAAAATTCAACATTTTTTCCTCTTTTTTATAGGATTTAGCTTCATTATTTTTGTGCTTTTGAAAAATACTTTACTTATTAAATTGTCTCGACTCTTTGGTAAAAAATCTAAAATTATCGAAAATTATCAAAAATTCAAAAATCCGAATTTCCAAAAATTCAACATTTTTTCCTCTCTTTTATGGGATTTAGCTTCATTATTTTTGTGCTTTTGAAAAATACTTTACTTATTAAATTGTCTCGACTCTTTGGTAAAAAATCTAAAATTATCAAAAATTCGAAAAAATTCAAAAATCCGATTTTCTTAAAATTCAAAATTTTTTTTTCTCTTTTATAGGATTTAGCTTTATTATTTTTGTGCTTTTGGAAAATACTTTACTTATTAAATTGTCTCGACTCTTTGGTAAAAAATCTAAAATTATCGAAAATTATCAAAAATTCAAAAATCCGAATTTCTTAAAATTCAACATTTTTTCCTCTCTTTTATGGGATTTAGCTTCATTATTTTTGTGCTTTTGGAAAATACTTTATTTATTAAATTGTCTCGACTCTTTGGTAAAAAATCTAAAATTATCGAAAATTATCAAAAATTCGAAAAACCGAATTTCTTAAAATTCAACATTTTTTCCTCTCTTTTATGGTATTTAGCTTCATTATTTTTGTGCTCTTGGAAAATACTTTACTTATTTAATAGTCTCGATTCTTTGGTAAAAAATCTAAAATTATCGAAAATTATCAAAAATTCAAAAATCCGAATTTCTTAAAATTCAACATTTTTTCCTCTCTTTTATGGGATTTAGCTTCATTATTTTTGTGCTTTTGGAAAATACTTTATTTATTAAATTGTCTCGACTCTTTGGTAAAAAATCTAAAATTATCGAAAATTATCAAAAATTCGAAAAACCGAATTTCTTAAAATTCAACATTTTTTCCTCTCTTTTATGGGATTTAGCTTCATTATTTTTGTGCTCTTGGAAAATACTTTACTTATTTAATAGTCTCGACTCTTTGGTAAAAAATCTAAAATTATCGAAAATTATCAAAAATTCAAAAATTCGAATTTCTTGAAATTCAACATTTTTTCCTCTCTTTTATGGGATTTAGCTTCATTATTTTTGTGCTTTTGGAAAATACTTTATTTATTAAATTGTCTCTACTCTTTGGTAAAAAATCTAAAATTATCGAAAATTATCAAAAATTCAAAAATCCGAATTTCTAAAAATTCAACATTTTTTCCTCTCTTTTATGGGATTTAGCTTCATTATTTTTGTACTTTTGAAAAATACTTTACTTATTAAATTGCCTCGACTCATTGGTAAAAAATCTAAAATTATCGAAAATTATCAAAAATTCAAAAATCCGAATTTCTAAAAATTCAACATTTTTTCCTCTTTTTTATGGGATTTAGCTTCATTATTTTTTGCTTTTGAAAAATACTTTACTTATTAAATTGTCTCGACTCTTTGGTAAAAAATCTAAAATTATCGAAAATTATCAAAAATTCAAAAATCCGAATTTCTAAAAATTCAACATTTTTTCCTCTCTTTTATGGGATTTAGCTTCATTATTTTTGTGCTTTTGAAAAATACTTTACTTATTAAATTGTCTCGACTCTTTGGTAAAAAATCTAAAATTATCAAAAATTCGAAAAAATTCAAAAATCCGATTTTCTTAAAATTCAAAATTTTTTTTTCTCTTTTATGGGATTTAGCTTTATTATTTTTGTGCTTTTGGAAAATACTTTACTTATTAAATTGTCTCGACTCTTTGGTAAAAAATCTAAAATTATCGAAAATTATCAAAAATTCGAAAAACCGAATTTCTTAAAATTCAACATTTTTTCCTCTCTTTTATGGGATTTAGCTTCATTATTTTTGTGCTTTTGGAAAATACTTTATTTATTAAATTGTCTCGACTCTTTGGTAAAAAATCTAAAATTATCGAAAATTATCAAAAATTCAAAAATCCGAATTTCTAAAAATTCAACATTTTTTCCTCTCTTTTATGGGATTTAGCTTCATTATTTTTGTACTTTTGAAAAATACTTTATTTATTAAATTGTCTTGACTCTTTGGTAAAAAATCTAAAATTATCGAAAATTATCAAAAATTCGAGAAACCGAATTTCTTAAAATTCAACATTTTTTCCTCTCTTTTATGGGATTTAGCTTCATTATTTTTGTGCTCTTGGAAAATACTTTATTTATTTAATAGTCTCGACTCTTTGGTAAAAAATCTAAAATTATCGAAAATTATCAAAAATTCAAAAATCCGAATTTCTTGAAATTCAACATTTTTTCCTCTCTTTTATGGGATTTAGCTTCATTATTTTTGTGCTTTTGGAAAATACTTTATTTATTAAATTGTCTCTACTCTTTGGTAAAAAATCTAAAATTATCGAAAATTATCAAAAATTCAAAAATCCGAATTTCTAAAAATTCAACATTTTTTCCTCTCTTTTATGGGATTTAGCTTCATTATTTTTGTACTTTTGAAAAATACTTTACTTATTAAATTGCCTCGACTCATTGGTAAAAAATCTAAAATTATCGAAAATTATCAAAAATTCAAAAATCCGAATTTCTAAAAATTCAACATTTTTTCCTCTTTTTTATGGGATTTAGCTTCATTATTTTTGTGCTTTTGAAAAATACTTTACTTATTAAACTGTCTCGACTCTTTGGTAAAAAATCTAAAATTATCGAAAATTATCAAAAATTCAAAAATCCGAATTTCTAAAAATTCAACATTTTTTCCTCTCTTTTATGGGATTTAGCTTCATTATTTTTGTGCTTTTGAAAAATACTTTACTTATTAAATTGTCTCGACTCTTTGGTAAAAAATCTAAAATTATCAAAAATTCGAAAAAATTCAAAAATCCGATTTTCTTAAAATTCAAAATTTTTTTTTCTCTTTTATGGGATTTAGCTTTATTATTTTTGTGCTTTTGGAAAATACTTTACTTATTAAATTGTCTCGACTCTTTGGTAAAAAATCTAAAATTATCGAAAATTATCAAAAATCCGAATTTCTTAAAATTCAACATTTTTTCTTCTCTTTTATGGGATTAAGCTTCATTATTTTTGTGCTTTTGGAAAATACTTTATTTATTAAATTGTCTCGACTCTTTGGTAAAAAATCTAAAATTATCTAAAATTATCAAAAATTCAAAAATCCGATTTTCTTAAAATTCAACATTTTTTCCTCTCTTTTATGTGATTTAGCTTTATTATTTTTGTGCTTTTGGAAAATACTTTACTTATTAAATTGTCTTGACACTTTGGTAAAAAATCTAAAATTATCAAAAATTCGAAAAATTTTAAAAATACGTTTTTCTTAAAATTCAACATTTTTTCTTCTCTTTTATGGGATTAAGCTTCATTATTTTTGTGCTTTTGGAAAATACTTTATTTATTAAATTGTCTCGACTCTTTGGTAAAAAATCTAAAATTATCTAAAATTATCAAAAATTCAAAAATCCGATTTTCTTAAAATTCAACATTTTTTCCTCTCTTTTATGTGATTCAGCTTCATTATTTTTGTGCTTTTGGAAAATACTTTACTTATTAAATTGTCTTGACTCTTTGGTAAAAAATCTAAAATTATCAAAAATTCGAAAAATTTTAAAAATCCGTTTTTCTTAAAATTCAACATTTTTTCTTCTCTTTTATGGGATTAAGCTTCATTATTTTTGTGCTTTTGGAAAATACTTTATTTATTAAATTGTCTCGACTCTTTGGTAAAAAATCTAAAATTATCAAAAATTATCAAAAATCCGAAAAATTGAATTTCTTAAAATTCTTTATTTTTTCTTTTCTTTTATGCCATTTAGCTTTATTATTATTTGAATTTTTATTCAAGAGAAAAAATGGAAAACTTAAAAAATTTAGAAACTTTTAAAAATTACAGGCCTTTTCCATGAATATTATTGAAAATAATTGAACTGCTGAGAAGAATTTTGTCGAAATTTTAGGAAATAATTGAATTCTTTCAAAACATTTTGGAAAATAATTAAATCTTTTCGTGAATTTTTTTTAATTATTTTGAAAATAATTGAATTTCTGCGAAAAATTTTAATATTTATAAAAATAATTGAATTCTTTGAAAGAATGTTATTATTCATGAAAATAATTGAATTCTTGTAAAAAATTTTATTAAAATTATTGAAAATAATAAACAATAATTAATTATGTACCTAATAAGTTTTATAAAAAATATTTTAATATAAATTTTTAAAGATAATTTTTATTAATTTTGATTTGAAAATTTTTCATTCAAACTTTTGAGAATTCAATTATTTATTTATTATTAATATGAGATAAGATCTGAATAATTTATGTTTTTATTTTATTTATTTATTATAATTATAAAAATTATAAATTTTAATTATATTTAATATAATTGTTGAAATTCAAGTTTGAAGATCTATTTATATTGTATTTGACTCACTTTAGTGAAGTTATTTTAAAAAAATGCTCCTTTAAGATAATCTTGCATATTTTAAACGTCTAAATGCAAAATATTTTATTTATTACAAACCTTGAATTTTTTTCCATAATTTTTCACTGAATATTTCTGTTTTCTATTCAGCTGATGACTACAGATTTTCCTGGACTCGAGGCTCAAAACGTGTTGAATTTGGAAAGGCCGGCGATTGTTATAGTTTGGCTAATTGTCCTCAGGGTCGATTCAGCATTAATTTAACTGGAACTTTCTTCAAACTCTCCCCTCAAGTTTCATGGAGTACACAAAAATCTCGAGCTTTCCTCTTAATTAACAGAATAGTAAGTTCCCCTTCTTTATCTGTAAAAGAAATTTCCAATATTAGTACTAATTATATTATTAATATTAATATTAACATTAATAACTAATTAATTGTATATTTAAATGGATTTATCACTAAACTAATTAATTAATTATTTTTCTAGAATGATCAATTAATTGTCGGTAAATGTGGAGGCTACTGTGGATTTTGTGCGCCAATGTCCGGTTTAAAACTCGATATTCTGCCTCCATAGAAACTGAGGAATATAATTAGGAATTTTAAATTATTTTATCAGAATTGAAGAATGAAGAAGTCTTGCTTCGAATAATTCTCTTTTCGTTGTCTTTCAGTTGGTTCATCAAAGTGAACTTTGGACAACAAAGTTATTTAACTTTGTTTCAAACCAGGAGAAATTTTTTACTGAGAAGTTTTAAAAAAAAGAATAGAGAAACTCGAGAAGCAGACTGCATGTCTTTATGGCGAAATGTACATATTCGTGCCATATAAGTATCACAAAAAAAAAAAAAAAAATGAAAAAACTGACTGCCTGCGTGTTCGTGTTGAATAATGAAAAAATACCAGTTTCAGAAAATAAGATGGAGAAATAGAAAACTCCTAATTTTTTTTCTTCTTATAGGAAGAAAGAAAATGACAACTAATTCTAATTAACATTAAGCGCCCTAAATGTTGTATAAAAAAATCATTAAGTAAATCAAGTATTGTAAAATATTTTAAATGTATGAGAGAATTCCAAATGCGTCCATGACGTCGCACAAGCAATCATCATTCTTCTTTGCGCTTTTTATCATTTTTGCACAAAAAAAATTTTTTTCCGAGTTAATTTTTTATCCACTAAATTAAATATTCTTTATTCTTATTCTAAAATTTAGAAAATTTCCCAAATTCTCTGATATTAAAAATTATTTCTGCTTTTTGTAAATTTTTATCCCCTAAAATAAGAAACTTAAATGACAATTAATATACTGTTCGTATACAAATTTACAAAAGTAAGCGTGCGTTAAAATTAAATATAAGAATGATTTTTGTTTCTCGTATTGTTTTGTTCTTAACTATTATTTCACTATTTAATATTTTAATAGTAGTTTAGGAACAACTGTACGCAAACATTAGAATATTTTTCCGAGCTCGATATTATTCATCGTGTCTCTCTGTCTCTCTCTTTCTTTTTATTGCCATGATTACTTGTAATTCAAATTTCCAAGTAGAAATTCGTTACAAGAATGCATTTGTACTAGTCATTTATTTACGACAAATATCTATTTTTTTCATTTACGAAAATTATCAATTAGAAAAGTATTGTTAAAATTTCTTTTCACAATGTACAAAAAAAATACAATTTTTGTTCAAATAATGAGATTTCTATACGCTTTTAGAAAAAAAAACAAATTAGGAATTAAAAAAAAGAAACAATTGAACCAAATTAATTTGTAATTAATTGAAGAAAAAAACAATTAATTAAATGTTGTAAAAAAGGACTCTTCTAGCGAGTAAATTACTAAATTATTATTTAGAAAACTACAACAAAATAATACACTGCCATATTTGTTTATCGTGGCCTTTTGGCCAGCTAGTATAAAATCGTTTTTAACAAAAACAATATACTGCAATCTTGTATAAAAAATCATCGTTAGTTTAATTTTAGATTAGAACTGATTTATGTATTTTTCACGATTAATTAAATGTTTCTCTTGTTCCTTCCAATATTTAAATAACGAAATGTCCGATTTGTATAATAATCAAGTACAAAACATTTCTGTACTAAGTGTTATATATTATGACTTAAAAGAATGAAAAAAAGTATTTAATATCATTCGAAGTAAATAAAGTTTCATTTTACTTATTTTGCATTTTGCGATATAAAAGAAAAACTTTAAAACTTCGATTTTAAGTAAAAAGAAACTTCGATTTTAGTAACAATTTTGTTAAACGATATATCTTTTTTTTACTTGCTTGTACTCGCGTTTTTTTTTTTGTTCTTCAATAAGTGAATCTTTTCTTATTTTATGAATAAAAATAAGAATAACTTTTTTTATAACAAAATGTGCTTTATTTTCCCTCTCTACCTGATTTTATCGGTGATGTTTATAACGTTTATTTTCACGAAAGACTTCGACTACTTTTTAAAAATTCCAATATAATTTTTCGAAAGAATTCAATTGTTTAAATTTTAAAATTCAATTACTTTCAATACATTAATTTTAAAATTCCAAACATAATTGAAAAATAAAAATTATTAAAAAAGTTACAAAAGAAAAAAGAAAAAAAAGAATTAACTTTAAACTGCGAACAGACATTCAGAATACGATTATTAATACAGATAATTAATTATTTTTTAATTACCATCAATTATTTTAAAAAGAAAAATTTGTAAACTGAAAAATTTTATTATGTACCATGTGAAAAATTTTTTTTTCATTATTCGTTGAAAATAAACGTTGTAAACTTCACCGCGACATACTTCCTATCGTTTTCTTTATCTTCTTCAATTATATCTATTTATCTTCAATAGAAACTAAACAACGTGTACGTATTGATTTCTCTTTGTTACAAACAATTTTTTTTATATTTAATTAATTTCTTAAATGTTATTCTTTTATTTTTATTAATATAATCTATGAATATAAATAATCTACTTTAAATAGAAAATAATTGTAAAGTTACTTAAATGAAAAATTGAATTATAATACTGATAATATTAATAATTCAAAAGATAAAAATTAATAATAAAAATAGAGCGTATATTAACAATAAAAATTGAATAAGAAAATATTTTTAAAAGTAAAGAAGATAAAAGAGAAGACTGAAATCGAAATCAAAACGCATGCGTCTAATGTGTTTGTGTTAGAACCAACATCAATACACAGAAAATCGTATATCTCTCTCAACTTAAAATTCAGTTTATCCAGCTGATCCAGCAGCAGGCAGCTTTCCCTTCTCTAAAGCACTATCAAGTTCTCTCTGTAATATACAATATTTCAGACACTGGGATTCTAAATTTTTCAGAGTTATAACAGAAATTATTGCCCTTTGCGTCTGACATCGAGAGACAAATCTGTAAGTAATAATAAAAATTATTTTACAATTCTCATTCAATTTTCTATAACTTTCAATATTAATAATAAAAAATTCAAGTAAAGTGAGGTTAGAAAATTATAATATATTTCAAGGTGACTTTAATTAAAAAAACTGTTCAAACATTTAAAAACTGGAGTAAAACCTTAGGGAGTGTCACAGAAACATAAAAATTCGATTTTCAATAATCAAACAAAAATAAAATAGTGAAATAATTGTTAACAGTTGAAAAACCCAAAAAGTGAGTAAAATTATTTCTTTTGGAAATTTTTTTTCGAATATACATTTAATTGATAATTTCAACTGATTTTTTAAAATTTAAATAAAAGAATATTTCTGTGTTTTTCTACTACATTGTAATATTCAACCCTCTTCTTTTTCTTTAGAAACAAAGTAAAAAAATATCTCGCAAATTGTGTGATAAGTGCCTTATTGCAAACAATAAAATTAATCAAATTAACAACTACTGATTATTTTAATTTTCATTTAGAGAAAAACATTGATCATGGCTACTAGATTCTCGGGCATTGAACTTGGACCTCCCATTGAAGTTTTTGCCCTTCAAAAAGCCTATGTGGACGATACGTTTGAAAATAAAGTGAATCTCGCAGTAGGAGGTAATATTTATATTACGTATTTCTTTAAATAAGTTTCAAAATTCCATTTTTCTGGTATTTTTTCATTTTTTTTCTACTATCTGGGAACGATTTTTTTTTTCTTTGGAATTCTCTTTAATAAATCATAAATAGGTGGAGTAGACATTATGTAACTGTGACTGACGTCAATGTAAGTGATCGCACGATTGTATGTCTCTCTCAATAACTACAAAACTACTTCATGGATATTTTAATTCAAGTATAGAGGAAAGGAAATTCTAGTAATCACAGTGATTTTTTTTCATTTACAGAGTAGCGATAAAAATGTGATTTTATTTTTTCTTGATTTCCAGATAGAATTTTGATTTCTTGACTGATTTCTATATAAGAAAAATTTTTAGAAGTAAGATTTAAAAACTTTAACTATTTTAAAAATAAAATTAGTTACTGTGGTAAACTTCTCTGGATTATTTTCAAAAATTTCTATAAAATTCTTTAAAAACTCAGTTTTAATAGAATTTTTAGAAAATTTCAATTATTTCAAAAATTTTTAATTACTTATTTATAAAAAGTCAAGTATCTTTAAAAAATAAAATTGTAATATTTTAAAAAATGAATGTGTCAAACTTCCCTCCACTATTTTAAAGAATTTAAGCACAACTCTATAAACAATTTAATTATTTTTAATTTAATTTTAGAAAATTTTAATTAAAAAGTTTTCAATTACTTTTTTATAACAATTCACTTATCCTTAAAAAATTAAATTAAAATATTAAAAATAAACTAATTTTTCAGAATTTTAAATAAAAATTTTCAAAACTTCAATTTTTAGAAAAAATTTTAAATTTACATCTTTTTGAAGTTAACTAATATTAGTAAAAAATTTAATTGTAACTGTTTTGAAATTAAATTACTTTAGACATAATTATTAAAATTTTATGGAAAATTCAATTTTTTTAATCTTTAATGAAATTCTTTAACTAATTTAATTATTTCCTATTCAATTTCACAAAATTTAAATTAATTTAATAATTCTTTAAGAAAATTGTTTTTAAAATTCAAATATCTTCAAAAAAATTGATTTAATTTTCTCAGAATCGTAAATTTTCTGGAATTTAAAAACAATTATTTCAAACTTGTAAAATTAAATTATTTTTGAATCTTTAAGTTAAATTATTCGTCAATTATTTCATAAGTAGTAATGATTTTCTGATAGTTATTCAAGAGTTAAATTATTTTACATAGATTCAATTTCAAATTCTAAAAAGTTCAATTACTGCCAGAAATAGACGAAATTTGGTGATTTGTATTAAAATTCGTAGCTATTTTCCCCCTGATTCTCCTGACTGATGACAATTCTAATTTAATAGTAGATAAAAAAGATGATTTTATTTTTTAAAAAATGTATTCGCTTCATTAAAGTAAAAAATGTAAAAATTTGATAATTATAAAAGATAAAAAAGAAGACCAACTGTGATCACTAAAATCTTAAACAGAATGTAAAGAAATAAATAAATTAACAGACACTTAATTAAATAAAGAAGATAAAATTAATTACGTTAAAAATTCGTTAAAAAATAATTTTAAAAAATTAAAACATTAAAAACAAAAAAATTTAAATTTGAGTAATTAAATAAATAAATAAATAATAAATAATAAATAAATAATAATAAATAATAATGAATAATAATAATAATAATAATAATACTAAATAATTTGAATAATAAATAAAATACCAATTTTCAGCTTACCGAACAAGTGAGGGAAAACCATGGGTCCTGCCAGTTGTTCAAAAAGTCGAGCAAAGTTTAGCTCAAGACAAATCGCAGAATCATGAATATTTACCGGTTCTTGGTTTGGATGCATTTTCAAAAGCAGCAACAAGTATGTTATTAGGCGCCAATTCATCAGCAATCACGGAGAATCGCGCAATTGGAATTCAAACATTATCCGGAACCGGTGCATTGAGAGTAGCCGCCGAATTTTTATCTCGCATTCTTCATTACGACACATTCTACTATAGCACACCAACCTGGGGTTTGTAAAATAAAATCAGAGAAATTAAAGAAAAGCAATAGACAAACAATAATAAAAATGTAAAAATATTTACAAAAAAAATTTGTAAACCGTAGAGTAAACAGTAAAAAAATACTTAGCAGTAAAAAAATAGTAAATAGTAAAAAAAAAATAGTAGAAATAAAAAAGAAATGTAAATTTGTTAATAAAAATATTTTCTATAAAGCTATGGAAAATTTCGATTGAAAATTCTTTCTTTTTCTTTGTCGAACTCGAAAATAGAATAACGAATATCTAAGTAGGTATTCGATTTTCGATGTCGCAAAAAAAGAAGTTCGCTTTCTGATTTCTAAATTTATAATCAATTGACTATAAATTTAGAAATTAGAAAAATAAATTAAATAATTAAATATAAATTATATTAGACTGAAACTGAATTATAAATAATTTTTTCTTTGCAGAAAATCATAAATTGGTGTTTATGAACGGAGGATTTAAGAAAGGATGCGAATATCGTTATTGGGACGCAAAAAAAAGAGGAATTGATCTAGAAGGAATGTTGGCGGACTTAAAAAATGCGCCCGAAAATGCAGTTATAATTTTGCACGCTTGTGCTCATAATCCAACTGGATGCGATCCTACTTTAGAGCAATGGGCAAAAATTGCCGATGTGATAGCAGAAAAACGACTCTTTCCCCTATTCGACAGTGCATATCAGGTTTGTAATTTATTTCCCGTGCCTTGCGAAAAAAACCTAGATAATAAAAAAATACCAAAAAACAATTCCTAATTCAATTTTCGATATTTCAGGGATTCGCCAGTGGAGATTTGGACCGAGATGCTGCGGCAGTGCGCATGTTTGCTGACCGAGGTATCGAATTCATTTGCACTCAAAGTTTTGCCAAAAACTTTGGTCTCTATAACGAACGTGTGGGAAACATGGCCATTGTCTTCAACGATCCTAAACAAATTGTCGAAGTTAAATCACAAATAACTCTAATTATTCGTGGAATGTACAGTAATCCACCGAATCATGGTGCTCGAATTGTCTCCACTGTTCTGAATAATTCCGAACTCTACGAGCAATGGTAAATTCCTATAACAAATATTAGTTATTAATTATTACATCCAAAATTTGAATTTCGATAATTTTTTCTACTTTGCAATTTGAAATTTAAAAATTATAATTTGAAATTTGTTAGCAAATTTTTTTAAATTATAAATATTTACAGGAGGGATCACATTCGCACGATGTCGGACAGAATAAAAAAAATGCGATCAGGACTCTATGAGAGACTAGTAAAATTAGGCACTCCTGGCAATTGGGAACACATTGTCAATCAAATCGGAATGTTTTCCTACACTGGACTCAATGGTAAAAAATACGAATAATATTGAAAAAATATTTTAATTTTCAGGGTTGCCACAGAAATTTAATTTTGTTTTTCCCTGATTTCCAGACAAAATACTTTTATTTGCGAATTTCTTTAAATGAAAAATTATTCAAATAAAAAATAAATAAAAAAATTGAAGGTTTTGTGTTAGAATTTGTGGTAATTTCATAGTTTACGAGGCAAGCAAAAAAGACACAAAAATTCAGAATTTTCTTATGAATTTTAAATATTTAATTTTTTCCAGTAGTTTTAATAAAAATCCCTGACTTTCCCTGATTTCTCTTACCAATTCTATTTTCCCTGCATTTTCTCTGAATTTCCTGACCTGTGGCAACCCTGATTTTCTAGAAATTAAATTCGAATTTTCTAAAAATATTAATTTGTTTTTTTTTTACAGAAAAACAAGTGGAGCATCTGGTAAAAAATTATCACATCTATTTACTTCGCAGTGGTCGCATTAACATGTGTGGACTAAATGAACACAATGTCGATTATGTTGCAAAAGCCATTGACGATGCAGCTAATCAATTCTAATCTTTCGAAAATTGAATCAGAAAATTTTAATCTGCGTTCTGAAGAGTACAAAAAAACAACTTGAGTCCTAGGCATTTAATGACGTTGTTAGAGTCAAAAATATTGTTAATAATAATCGAAGCTCCCCTTTCCAATTTCCCCTAAAAAATACAAATTATGGAAATTTTATTGTCAGTAGACTCCCAAGTTTCTTTGGACCAACAAATTAGAATATTAAATAGTGTACATATAAAATAGCGCTGCAATTGAAAATGATATTTTAATACAATTTAATCAGTTAAAAATATCAGCGTTGACAATTTCGTAAAATTTAATTTTAATTTTTTTTTCTACGAAATTTTGGTTTTAATTCTTTTATATCTAAAAAAACAAAGGGTCCTACGAGAGCAAATATTATATATATACAATTATATTGTTATAATAACAAAAAAACAATCAGTATGTGCCAAGCTGATTCGTTGACAATACAATATCATTTTAAATATAAACATAAAATTTAATTAATATTTCAATTATATGAATTTCCAATATTAAATATACCGAAAAAATGGCTAAATCAGTTTTCAGGCAAAGTTTGAAATTTAAATCAGATTTTTAATTCGGTGGCCTTAAATGACACAATGAAGAAAACAATTTTTAGCTGATAACTGCCAAGAGAAATATAAATAATTGCAATTCTCCCAAAATGGAAATTTCATCAAATGCAAATATTTCTTTTTATAAACTAAAAAATAATTGCAAAAATTGTCCCAATATGGAAATTTTATCAAATGCAAATATTTCTTTTTATAATATAAAATTTGACAAAATTTTGTCTACAAAAAATTTTTAAATTACTTTGGAAATATTAAATTAGAAAACTATTTTTCACCAAATATTAAAATTTATCAAAAAATATATCAAACAAGGAGAATTATAATTGAGTTAAACGAGTTGCTAATTAGAAATATTTTAAGTCCTAATTCGTTATACTTTGTTTAAATATAGAACAATTGTGGAATTTGATAAATGTTAAATTTTTCTGGCGCATTCACTAATTTTTGTAGTGCGCTTTCTAAGAGAAAAATTTGCGTATAGTTTAATTTTTCAGTGTTAAAAGCTACTTGTACCTTTTTGAGAAAAAATTTGAAAAAAATTTAGAACATTCCAAAGATTTTCAAATATAAGTAAAAAATGGAATAATATCTATGAATGTAGTATTAAAATTTGTCAAATATGCTCAAAAAATCGATTGAATTTGAGAGCTTATTAAAAAATAGTTTTTAGCTGTTTGAAATAAAAATTCGACCAAAATTCTGCCTTTCATTTACTTATTAATTATTTTTAATAAAAAATTTAATTTTAATTATTCATTAAAATTATTGTTTTTGAGAAATTAATTATTTTTTTTTATAAACTATTTTTGTTTATAACTATAATATATACTGATTGTATCGTAAATATTAGAACTTATTGACTGTATGGACTAAAGACTATATTTACAATTTCGTAGAATATTTACATATATTTCGATCGTCGTGAAACAAAGCAAATTGCAATTGTGCTTATTCTGTCCACTTTGAAACTTTCTTCCTAAATCTCTCGCTACCATCAGAATCTACTGCTGTATAGAATCCCATTGATTCATATTTTGCACGCATAAATAGAATGTAACCAGCGCATCCTGTTATTGCAACAGCACCAATGGCCATTATCACTTTATTCTAAAAAGTAAGAAGTCTTTTTCATTATTTTTTCCCTAAGGGAATATTTTTTCACTCTTTTTTTTCAAATACTTAGTATTTTTTATTAATTCTACTTAATATTTTTCAAATTAAGGAAAAACCAGAAATATTATACCCATGCGAAAATTTTTGCACTTTTCCCGAGATCTATATTTCAGACCAATTTTCTCTCATTATTATATAAGTAAAATTTTGGCAAATATTCTAATATTTTACGTTTTATTTTTTGACACCTTAACTAAAGAAAATCAGATTTTGATAAAAAGTTTATAATTTTTCATATTAAAAAACTAAAAAATTACCGGTTTAATGTAGAGTTCGTAGTTTATAGCGCGAAACAATGGAGTACTTTTTAGAGAACGAATCCCATCTCCGGGTACAGGATCTTTCGTAGGCTTACACATCGTGTTTTTTCTATTTCTGAAATTCAAATACGAATTCGATTAAAATAATATATTTGGGCAAACGTACTTATTTCCTTCTATTAGTAAAGTTAGAAACAAAACTACACTATTCAGTACGAATTCGAATGAAACTTGAATCTAAAACCTGATGAAACCTGCACAGAAACTGAATGACACGAAAAGTGAGGTTAGGATTCGAATTTCATTGATTTCGGTATTAAACACCTAATGATAGTAATTGACAGTAGAATATTATTCAATCTAAGAGTATTTAGTGTTGAAAAAGTGTTTCCAAATAATAAAATCAAGTAAATAGGTGATTTTATATGAGAAAAATGTAAAACAAAAGTGACTTACCGGTGGAATGTTGAAAACCAAGTTCATGCAAGTTTACACGACGCAAGTACTCAAAACTTGTGAAAAGCGAATTTATTTTATCTGCAATTCGTTACTTTTGACTTTTAATACTCAAAACAAACTTTACTTTTCTTTATTTTCAAAAAGATAATCGGATAGTCTTCTCCGTCTTCCCACTTCGATGTCACTTACGTAAATGGCGTCTCTTCGCTTGGCAACAGACAAAATACACAAATTTGATTGGTCGTCCAGAATACGATTTTTGAAGAACCAATCGAATTTGAGTATTTTGTCAGTATGTATACACCTTAAACTAAAGCTTTTCCTTTGTTTGTAGTATGAACACATCTTAATGTAACGTTACCGGTTTATTGTTAAAAAAAAATTTATAAACCCTTTAAACAAAAATAGTTTAATTTTCACAGGAACAATAATATAAAAAAGCAGTTTAAATATTCAATAAAATTCATCAATTGCACTATTGCAGACTTAAGGAAAAGACAATTCAGGTAATTGAGATAACAAATAGTAAAAGATAAAAATTCGAACTTTTTGATGTTTCGGACGTTTCGGACCTTGTGTCATCGGTGGCCAATTAAGTTTCTCGAAAAAGCACAAGCGCAGTTCTTGTTAACAAAAGTAACAGACGATAATTGCTTTAATTTTGTATCTATTATAATAATTTTATTGTATAATTATTAAAGTACTCAGGAAATGAATGTGTTTACTTTAAAGTACATGATTGACATTGCGAAGAATATACTACTTGACGATTGTCACAAAAATTCTTATTAAAAAAATGTGAGAGGAAAAAAAACTTGTTTTTGGATTCATTGAGCTAGACATTTTATCAGCAACTCTATTTTCACAATTTTCCATATCATTATTTATGCTTCTTTTATGAACTTTATCTTCTTTATTTATAATTTTTAATAATTAATAATTCTCTAGCTTTGCCTATTTTCAACTCTCGTTTGTTGTCAATATTTTAAAGAATGCTTTAGAGCTTTTTTCTCCAGAACCAGTGTTGGTAGTTGTTTTTTTTATTGTTTTTAATATTCTTTCCAGAATGCTTGGGAAATTTATTAAAAAGGTAGTTTTTTATCTTTGAATTATAATTTGAATAAATTGAAAAAAGTAGTTTTTAGATAATACATTTTAATGGATTAATTTAGTTTACAGTATTTTTATATTTTTTATTGCATGTTTTTGATTTTAAGACTTAATTTATTAAAATAAGCATTATCTTAATTAGAAAGAATATTCATTGATTCTCATACGCATGAATTTATTTCTATTCTTGTATAATATATGTTTCTAAGAAATTTTAATTTGTTACCTAAATTGGATATTTTGAACGATTATATAATCTCACTCATATGCATATACGTATAATAATTATTGTTTGGAAATTATTTGCAGATTTTTTGTAAATATGGAGATGTTAATGAAGCAAAATTAAATCGGAAAAGTAGAATTTCACTAGAAAAACAAAAGCCATGCTCCTGACTGTTTTCTATATGGTTGCAACATGGATTCAATCGTGGAGACTCTCGTCTCTGAAAACACGTTTAAGTATTGCCCTCAAGGAGGAATCGACGAGACCTTCGGTTGTATTCTATACTGCAGCTTCTGTTCGATCAAAAGAAGGTTTTTATTTTTAATTATCTAATGAATTGAATGCATTTTTTTTGTTTTGTTTTTCACAAAAATTCTTTCATCAATTTAATTTCATTTTGTTTTTTAGAATTAAATGGAAGCAAAAATAAATCTCACCCAGGAAATGGAGCTAATGAAGATCACTTGAGTTCAGTTTTTTGCAGCAATAAAGATGCTGCAAAACTTGGAGATCTTCTTTGGTATCAAGGTGATAGAAGATTGTGTACAATTTATCCACAGGTGATTTTTAATAAAAGAAATTATTCTTTAATAATTTTTTTCTATTTTTTAACAGTTTATAAAAAATAATACAAGTAAACTTGTTGTTTTACTGTTTTTTTGTTTTCAGCAAACGATAAATGTAAATAACTGGTTAATTTTTCCACCGGGGAAAACAATGTTTCCACTTCTCGCTAATAATTTCGGTCAAACTTCCCTCCTTCAAGACAATAAAATTCATGTTCTCGTCGAAGCTGACATGGAAATTTACAATCCACTTGGTTCCTCAAAATCTACAAAGGTATAAAAGAAAATACGAAAAAATTTCTATTTTTTCTCTCATTTTCGATCTTAAATTAGAAATAATTTTTAATGTCAAAAATAGAAAATTGTTTAAATAATATTGAATCTTTTTAGCTTGAAGACTATGGTTCAATCGTCACATGGACTTCGGATAAAACATTCGGCGTTATTTTAGAAACTGATTTAGATCACATTACAAAATTTTCCATTGCTTTAATGCACGGACAATGTTTCATTAATAATGGACTTTTAGTTTCGCGGGTTGAATGTAAGTCTCTCTTTTCTTTATCAATTAAAACCTTTACTTTCGATGAAATTTCTTTATCAATTTAAACTTTTCCTTTTGATGAAATTTCTTTATCAATTTAAACTTTTACTTTTAATGAAGTTTCTTTATGAATTTAAACTTTTACTTTTGATGAAATTTCTTTATAAATTTAAACTTTTATTTTTGATGAAATTTCTTTATTAATTTAAATATTTACTTTTGATTAAATTTTAATCAAGAAATCTTAATGTGGAAAAATATTATTTAGCTGTTTCAGTTTCCGGAAGTCCGTGTTTTTCAAACTGTGAACACTACAATTTTCTCGATTACAAAAGTAAGTGTCAATTTTTTTAATAACTGTAGTGACTGATAATTTTTCTTATAATATATAATAGGATAATAATTTCAAAACTGAGTGCAAAAAATATTATGCATAATAATTTTCCTTTTCTTTGTTAATTCAAGAAATGATAGGCAAAGCACAGTGGGACGCATACATAAAGAAATTGAGAGCATTCAGTGAAACTGCAAAATTAGTTTCACAACAAGGCTTAGCTTACGAGGTGAAAGAAGCTCCGGGTGCAATTATTACCCCTGGAACTCAACCAATTAGCTTACAATTGCCCCTACAAATAACCATTTACGAAGATGTTAGAAGTGAGTTATTTAAATTAATTTCCTGATATCTAAATTTAATTGAGAATTAATAATCAATTTACTTCTTCATACTCGCTAAATACTCATTTTTTCCTTTTAAAAAATTTTAAATGATAATTATCAATTTTTTTTTAAATGGCTTTTTTGAAAAGATGTAAAGTTTTGTAATTTACTATATTTGATTATTAAAAAAATTAACAGCGGACAATGCGAGTGAATTTTCTGGTCCAGCGACACCACCACCGACTCCAGCGTCAATGAGCGGATTAAATGGAACGACTTCCAGATTGTCGCAAGCTTTAACAAATTCCGTCGAATTAACTCCATCGGCTTCGCTAGATTTTTCGGCAATATCATATTCGAACACTAGTTTAGCCAGATCTCAAGACTTTGATCTCAAGGAGAGTCCTGTGAGAAAATTCAAAGGACCCTGCGATGTTGAGGATCAAAAATCCTATAAATCTCTCAATGTCAGCAGCGAAACACTTGACAATGCTTCGAGATTGGGCTCATCGAGAAATATTCCTGCTAGCATTGCTAGGTAAGTCGAATTAATATATTTAATAATATAAAAACTTATTTGACATATTTAATATAAATAATTAATTACTTAATATAAAAATAAAAATTTATTCAGCACTCCAGCAAGAAAGACTGAAAATGGAGGACAAGCGAAACCTCCTAGTGTTTTAATATACGGCGATAGTTCTTTGGCGGTCGATAGCATCAAAAGTGTGCTGGAAACAACTTTAAAAGAAGACAAGTAAATTTATGCAAATCTAAATTTAATTAAGTGAGATTAAATTAACACAAAAATATAAATAATACAAATTTTTTATAATTTTTTTATTGATCAACAGATATCAAAAATATTTGCCACAGTTTCTATAAATATTTATTTATCGCTATCTAATATTTGGAAAATTAAAGCAAATAGTAATTTAGATAAATTTTTCTCTGCAGATATTCGGTCTACAGTTTGTCACTGGACGAAATTCGTAGCGACATTTGGATGGATCAAGCATTTCTCATAGTGATTTATGGAAATATTGGAAATGAAATTTCCACTCAACTTGTTGAGTACATGGTGCGAGGGGGGAAAATTTTAGCCCTCTGCTCCGATTTATTACACATTTTACTGCCCACTTTTAAAACTGCCGAAGTTCGTGAAAACGAATTGGTCCGTTTCTCTTATGGAAAATGGAAGAACGTCCGCATGATGCATCACGTTTTTTGCTATCAACCGTCTCCTGTGAAGACCAAATTTTCCGAAGAGTTCAAGTACTTATTATTTATTTATTTTATTTATTATTTAAATATTTAAAAAAATAGTTTTTTCCTTCCATTATAATATTTATAAAGAAATTTTTTTCGTTTTTTGGAAGAGTCGTAAAGAAAAAATACCGAAGGACAGCAGGGAAAGTGTAAAGATATTTTTTCTCTTTTCAGATCGATGACATCGCAAACACCATTTGTAGTGAAAGTTCCCGATAAATGTGGACATTTACAATCATTGACGGTAAAAGTTTTGGGCGCCGAGGAAACTTGGCATACGCCAAGTATTTTGTTGGCCGATCTTTTGGAAAGTCAGGGCAAAGCGATATTTTCGCAAATTCATTTAGAAGTTGATCCATTGCAATATGAATTCGAAGAGAGTAAATTTAAAGCCCTTAAGGAAAGTAATACAGCAAGATTGGAAATAATTCGAGATCTTCTCAGTTCGTATCTCGATATGAAAGTCACGTCACAAATTCGTCCACCAGCTGCTTATACACCGGGGTTTTTTCTCGGCAGACATGAGGTCCGTATACTTCAAACATAAAAAGCATGAATTTGACATTAAGTTCAAAACTTCATAAATTTGTCAATATTATCAATATTATTTCCTTTAATACAAAAAATTTTTTTAATAAACCAAATCAATTTATTTTAATAGTTAAATGTAGTCTCACTTTTAGTAAACTTGTAAATTATAATTTGAGAATTTACCTGTAAGAATCCTGCTAATTAGATTTTTCCCCCCGTAGTAGAAGAGTAGTAGAGCACATTTTTTTTGGTTCACGTCATTTTTTCCATACTTGCACCAAAAGAAAAAGTAATTTAATAAATTGTTTACATAGTTTAACTTGTCCGCAGATGATAAACTGGGAATCGAATTTCACATAGTATATTATTATTGTCCTCTGCTTGTCTTAAATGTTCTGTATACAGAAATTCCACGTAGTTCTTTGTAAACTGTGATAAGCATGTGTTTTTGAAAAAAAAAATTAGATAATTCTATTTTCCATCTTGTCCATTGTGCAGCTAAAGCTAGAAATGCTGAAGATGTTGAAAGATAAAATGCAACCGAACGATATTCTGAAAATGGAGAAAATTGAAGTTCAATTTTGCGGTACGAATACAAAATCAAGATCAGCATCTTCCACTTTTCTACCAGTCATGATACATCGATGTCCTGAAAATTTTTCTACTGTTGAATATTTTGAGGTATTTTTTTAAATGTTTAAATTAAATCTAAATTAAATTGTGTAATTAAATGTTAATTTAAGATATAATAATTTATCGTAAAACTGAATAAGATTTTTGTTTCGTTTTCAGAATTTAAATTCAGAAGAAGTGGGTCGTTTAGTAATTTACTCGGATATTATGTCGTCTTCTATGGACGTGGTGTCAAATTGTCGATTACATCATGGCTTAGTTGTAATTCCTTGTCGACAAACTAGGGGCCAAGGTAATGTGTAAATATTGGAAAAAAATTACAAGTGACCTTGTTAATTATTGATCTTTTTTTCTTTAATTAGGACGCGGTAAAAATACTTGGCTCAGTCCAAAAGGCTGTGCAATGTTTACTCTGCAACTTCACATTCCATTGGATTCACCTCTGGGAAGACGGATTTCCCTTTTACAACATTTAATTGCCGTCGCTGTGGTTTCCACCGTTAAATCAATACCAGGTTACGAGGTATTCAAAATCGAGGCTTATTTTACGAGGCTATTCAAAATATTCCCAAATTTATTTTTGAATTTTAGTTTCCAGTATAAACAAATCATTTAGTCATTTTTCTTATTTAGAAACAGAACGTTTTCTTTTTCTCAATAAAAAAAAATGTAAATACTCATTAAAAGTTTCCAAAGAATCGAAAGGATCCAAAGAAGATAAATAATTAAATATATAAATAAAAAGAAAATTAATTTATTTTCTAGTTATTTTTTATCATTTATTCTAAAATAATTCTTAGTGAAAACTTTTTTCTCTAGAATATAGATCTCAGAGTTAAGTGGCCTAATGATGTGTATGCAAGCAATGAATCGAAAATAGGAGGACTTATCATAACAACTCTAGTTGAACAAACGTTGGCGATTTGTAACATAGGTGATTAAGGAAATAATTTAATATTTTCCAAATTTCTGTAAATAAAAATAATTTTTGCATTTTTTTTCTTTTAGGAACCGGGATAAATTTGTCCAACAATTCTCCCACAGTTTGTATCAATGAATTGATAACTCGCTATAATGCAAAGAATGGAACTACATTGAAAAAATTGTCTTACGAACAATTTTTAGCTCTTGTATTCACTGAGATTGAACGAATTCTCAATATTGTACAAAAAGGCAATATTGATTATTTGTATGAAATTTACTATAAATATTGGTTGCACGCGTGAGTAGTAATTTTTTTTAATTAAAAAAGATTTTTTATTACAGGATAAAATAATTTAAATTTAATTACTTATATTTTCAATTATTATAAACTAGCAAATGATACGTGCGTCATTTTATTAGTTTTATAAAATTCCCATAAATAATAAAATTCTTTAGAGCAATTCAATTATTTTTTAAACAATTTTAATAAAAATTCAATTATTTTCAGCATTTTTGATGAAATTCTTTATAAAAAAATCATTATTTTCAAAATTTTTAATAAAATTCCTTCAAAAAATTCAATTACTTTCAAAAATTCAGATAATACGAAACAATTCAATTATTTTTATGAATTGTAGAATCCTCAGCAAAAATTTAATTATTTTCATAAATAAGAAAATTCTTGTTAAGAATTGAATTATTTTTAAAAATTGTAATAAAATTTTTCTGAACAATTCAATTGTTTTCAAAAGTTTTTAATATAATAATGGGAAAATCGTTAATTACAATTAATAATAACCACGATTATTTTAAAAACTTAAAAGAAATTCTTCTTAAAATTCAATTACTTTCAAAATTTTCAGTAAAATTATTATTTTCTCGAAAGAATTCAATTATTGAAAAAAAGGTTGAAAAAATTCTTGAAATGAATTCAATTATTTTCAAATTTTTTTATAAATACTTTACAAGAATTCAATGATTTTCAGTACATTGACAATTTAATTATTAATGAAAATAATTGAATTCTTGAAGAAATCAATTAAAATTGTATTAAAAATAAGTGAAATCCTGGTAAGAATTTTATTATTTGCATAAAAATAATTAAATTTTTTTTATTTTCAATTTAAAAATAAAAATTAGGTATTAATCACTTATTTCTGTTAATATCGTTTTTAATTTCTACAGCGATGCTGAAATAACAATTGTGTCACAAAACGGAACATCTCAAGAAGTAAAAGTAATTGGAATCGACACTTATGGATTTTTAGAAGTACAAGGGAAGAATGGCAAAACTTTCAGTGTTCATCCAGATGGGAATAGTTTTGATATTATGAAAGGATTAATAACTCCAAAGACTTAAAGTCAAGTAGTTTAAAAATCAAAGGTTTCACACAACTTAAATATATTTATTAATTTAAACAATATCTTTTTTTTCCAAAAAAACACGAGAGTGAAATTAGAATAAAATTTTTATTTATTTTTTATTAATTTATATTTTTAATAAATTTTAATATTTGAGAAATATAGAAAAAAAATTAAGAGAAACTTTCTGATCTCTATAAAACTTCTTTTCCCAGAAGAAGAATCTCGTGTGAAAAATTCTCTTAAAGTACTAAATAGAAAAAAAACTCTTTTTCAATGACAAAAAAACTGCATTTTTTAAGAAATTCTTTTTTAAATATATACGTGTATAAATTAATATTTACACCGATTTAAAAGAAAAAAAAATATTCCAGTCAATTTGTAAAGAAAAGAAAGAATTCTAGGTGTATATTTTTTAAGACATCATTCCACTAAAATATATAAATAGATTTTACCGTATGAAAAAAATCTATAAAAAATCATGCGCGATTGTTTTTTTTTTAATGTAGTGGAAACATAGAATTTTATGGTGCACTATTATTCATTAATAGATGGAAAGTTTAGTTGTTATTATCTGAAAGGAAATTCTAAGCCATATTTTGCTTGGAAAAAAAAATCAGTTTTATCTACTGCCTATTCATAACGTAAAAAAAAATCTATCTATAAATGTGAAAGAACAAAAGCTTTATTGTACTGTTTATCCAATTAAGAAACTTTATCAGATATTATATGATTGTATATTGTTGATTGTTAAAAAATAATGCTCTTTTTTCAGTTGTATCTGTACTTGTTATAAAATAAATTCAATCAGAAATATATTTTCCATGTATTTTAATTCTAGAAATAATTCTATAGAACTTTCAACTTAAAAATTTTTTTTTTTAAATTTAACTTAAAAAAACTTTAAAAAAATTTGAAGAGAATTTTTTCTGTTTAAATAAATAGAAAAATAAATAAAATTAAATAGATAAAAAACAAAAAAATGTTAATAATTTAATATATTTCATCAAGTTCTTTTTACACAAAGATATCGGATTTCGAAATTAAATCATTGCTCCTGATGGTGATTACAAGTTCTCTAGAGAGAATAATTTCCTATAATATATCTCTCTTTTTTTTTCTTTTCGACAGAGAAAATCAACAACAAATTTGTCATAAAAAGAAATTTTAACGGAACAGTTACACACTGTACAAGTTTCTTTTTACGTTCCATAATATACACATAAAAAAATGTAAACAATTGTACAATTAATTGTACTTTCGCAAAAAAGCGACATAATTATTAATAATAGAATAATAATAATCTAATAATATAATAATAGTAATAATAAGGAACAAGAAAGTAGAGAAATTAGCCAAGCCCTTACAATCAATTTTACAGATGTTTCGGCCTATTCCATTTTTTATTATACTATTTGGACTATTTGTAATTATTTTAATTCCAAGAGGAAATGATAATTAGGATAAAGAGAGCTTTTTTATTTTCACCGGCTTTTTAGTCTTTTTAATGTAGCTTGTCTGATACAGTTTGTGGCGAATAAATCGAAAAACAACTTCTTTACTTTTTATTTTCGAAAATTAAATTTACAAATAAATAAAAAAAATTTCACTAAATTAAATATTTTATAGATTTAAAAAAAATGAAAAAAGAAATTTTCTATTCAAAATTAACATATTTTCTAGAGCCAAAACTGTCACAGACAATTATTATATTTCTAAAAAGAAAAATAATTTAAAAATCTAGAATTCGAACGAATTTTAATTTAAAGTTTAGAGATTGAAAAATGAAGAAACGGAATTTTATCGAAGCATCTAACAAACTAGACGTCCTGTATAGTGCATCATTATTATGTATAAACTTATAATCGATTACTAGTTACATTGGTCCGTTAAGAACGATGCATTCGGTGTGGGCATCGATTTTTTACTGTCCAGACTTCCTGTAATAGTCTTCAATTACTACAAAAAGCCACCTTTTTTTTCTTCTTTTTCTCTGACACAGAGTGTTTTTAAATCACACTGCAAATGGACTACAAAAGTGGCGGAAACGACCGTACGTTAAATATTATATTTAATATATTTTTTTTATTTTCGACTACAAGTCCGTTTTCCTCCACTTGAACATTGTTTTATTTTTAAATCATTTTTTTTTCATCTTTTTTTTTTAAGTTTAGTTTCTTATCACACACGATAGAACACATTCGTGCGAGATATTTTTTAAAAACTAAAATCTGCACTATCCGTTCCACAGTCTTTGCACGAGAACACAGCTTATTTGTTAAATATAACTGGAAATGTATTATTTACTATTTTTTTTCGTTTTTTTTTTTTTTTGCTTTTTAGTTTTATTTCAATGTCTTTGCTTGAAAGAACTCCCTAAACACAATTATCGAGATTATTATGTACAATTATATTTGATTAGGATTTTGAATCTACGTTGGCAATATAACATTGTTACTTAATTTTTCAGTGGTAAAGTTTTAGTATCGTTTCACTTACTTTTTAATTTTTTTTTTTTAAATAATTATCACTGAGATTTATTGCGAGATTCTGCAAATAGTTGAGAAGAAATCGAGACAAAAAGAAAAAAAATTCTAGATATCTAAGAGTCAATATTAAAATAGTTCAATTGCGAATAATTCTACTAGACTTGATTTATATTTTCGGCAAATAATTATTTCTCTTCGATTTAAATTAAATGGAATTTAAATTAAATTTCAATACAATTTAACAATTTAAAATTCTATATTTCATAGAATATTTAACGATTTTGCAAAATAGTCAAAATATAGATTTATATAAACAAATAGTTAACTTTTTTTTTGAAAGTTTTCCAACTTCCGTGAAATTTAATAGAACAAATTTTTCCACAAATAACAAAGCTTTATCGTATTATTTTGAATACTACGCTATATTTATATATTTTTTCGGAACTTCTAGTTAAAAAAAACCTTTTTTCTCTCTTTCTCTCTTTTTCTCTAATTTGCCAATTAAAGGCATTTGAAAGTAAACTCGACAAAAAATTTGTCCCGTAATTGTTAAGAGAGACAAAAAATGTTGGCAACTACGAGTGAGACAAAATGCACTCTTTTTTTTATTAAATAGCGATTCATTAATTTAGGAACTAATTATCGAAACGTGATGATCAATAATAAAAAAAAATAATTTCGATCAATTATCGCTTTTTAGCGATTTAAAATTTATCAAAGGTCAAATATAAATGAAAACAATTCTTAAGAAATAATTTTACTAACTTGAAAATAATTTTGCAAAGCGAGCTTTGTCCCTAAAGTATCCTTGATCCACAATTTTATATATAATATATATATATATATATATATATCTTTTTTTTTAATTCTTTTTTAAAGCGACTTTCATAGAGATTCGAGTTTTCTGATAAAGACTAGAGTGACTTGTGGATCAAATCTTTTTACAATTTACAAGTTATTTTTCTTTTCATAAATATTTGACCTGTGATTAATATTTTTCATTCAGCTTTAGAAGCTGATTTTGAAAATTAAATTTTTTCTTCCCCCATTGAACGATAATTAAATTGGAAAATATTAATCGCGTGAAGAAAATGAAAAATCGTGCCTTATTATGATAATCACACATGCTTTTTTTTCCCCTAAAACATACAGACACACACGGACACATACTTGTTACATGAGCGCGAGCGCGAAATTTCTTTCTTTTTTTTTTAACCCTGGTATGACAAAATTATAGAATATATATAGGCAGTATATACAATTTCTTACATGAGAATTAAATGAATCTTGGATGACCACTGTTTGAATTTTGGTATACATAAGGCGGTGGTGGTGGACCGGGAAAATGTCGCTGACGATCGTGTGAATGCATTGGATGAATGACGACCGAACCCATTGACGATGTGTTCAATTGCAAAAGATGTGATGTCCCATCGCCGAGATCCAATTCGAGTTCTTGTGGTTCAACCAATTGCAAAGCACCAAATGATGAGGTCGCCATTGCCACGTCCGGCATTATTCCCGATAAATGACCATCGCTACACGAATTATTTTCCTGGTAATTTAAATAAGTTTCATTAATAATTAATAATTAATATAAAATATAAATTAAATTTTAAGAATTTCAAAAATACCAAAGTTTCCTTCAAAATTTTACATTACAATAATCCTTGTATTCTGGAAAACTGTTAGCAATTTCTACTTAGTGATCTTTTCTTCATTTCTTGTTTCCTAAAGTTTTTGATAATTTTTCCTTTTTTAAAATGTATATTTTAAATTATTGTATTTCTTAAACTTAAATTAAATTATATAAATAAAAAATAATTATTTTATTTTACATAATTCGCGTTAATAAGTGAATTTATTTAATTTTAAAAGACAATATTTTTGTTAATTTGTAATTTTTTTACAAGCTAACATTTTTGTTAAAAAAATTATACAATATAATTTCTTCTTTTGCGAAATTTAATTTGAAATTGTAATTAAACTAATTCAATTGTTATAAAGAATTTTATCAAAATTTTTGACAAAAACTGAATTTCTGCGAAAAGTTTTATAATAGATTAATTTTTAATTTTTATGAATAATTAAATTCTTTTGAAGCATTTCCTTAATTTTCGGAATATAATAAATTTTGATAACAATTGTAATTAAAAATTTTAAAACTAAATTTTATTATTAAAAATTATTAGAATAATTGATAAAAAATTAAATTCATTTGAAAAATTTTATTAGAGTTTTCGACAATTTTAGAAATTTACAGAATTTCTTAAGTTTTTTGAAAAAAATGATTTTTAATAATTTTAACTGAAAATTTTTAAAGTAAGTGAATTTAATAAAGAATTTCTTTTTGGAAATAAATTCTATTCTTTTCAGAATTGTATTACAATTATTGAAAATAATTGAATTCTTACGACAAATTTCATAAAAATTGTTCTAAAATAATTGAATTTCTGCAAAGAATTTTATTATTTATGAAAAAGATTAAAATATTCTAAAGAATGTGAAAAAAATTTTTGAAAATAATTGAATTCTTTCGACAAATTATAGAATTATTCATGACAATAATTCAATTCTTGTGAAGGATTTTATAAAAATTTCTGTAAATACTTGAATTTTTTCAAAGAATGTTATTAAATTTTTTTTAAATAATTGAATTCTTTTGAAAAAGCTTTAAAATTTTTTTAAAATAAATTGAAATCCTACGAAGAATTCTATTATTTATGAAAATAATTGAATTCATAAAAATAATTTATGACAATAATTGAATTCTTGTGAAGAATTTTATCAAAATTTCTGTAAATAATTGAATTCTTTCAAAGAATTTTATTAAATTTTTTAATAATAATTGAATTCCTGCAAAGAATTTTATTATTTTTAAAAATAATTGAATTTTTGTGAAAGATTTTATTAAAATCTTCGAAAATAATTGAATTCTTTCGAAGAAGCTATTCAAATTTTTAAAAAATAATTGAATTTCTACGAAGAATTTTATTATTTATAAAAATAATTGAATTCTTGCAAACAATTTTACTCTTCACGAAAATTATTAAATTGTTTCGAACAATTTTATTACAATTTTTGAAAATAATAAATAATAATGATTAATTAGTTAATAAGTGAATTTTTTAAATTTTTGAATAAAAAATAATTAAAAAATCGCATTTTATAGGTATTTGAATAATAATCTAGAATTGCAGATAAAAAATTAAGATTTAATTAAAAAGTTAAAAAACCTCAGAAAAATAATTTTTTACTTAAAAGAATTAAAAAAGAGAAGAAAATAGTGAACAGGAAAACGACCCAGCAACAATTCCAAAACTAAAATCGAATCTTGTTACCTGATGTGCAATGAACAATTTCTAATAATGATCGTGAGAAATAAATCGTAATTTGTGAAAGTTAAAGAGGCAAATAGAGAACTATGAGTTTAATGTTTGTGTGTGTGTGTGTGTGTGTGTGTTACGTACCTCCCCAGAAAGTCTATAGTTTTCTCCTTCAGTGACAACAGCGGGTAGTTCGTGTCTATGAGAATAAGAAGATGCTTGACGGGGGAATGTCATGTTTCTTCCGTAACAAACTGATGCTGAAGCACCGACATTACTATTTAAATTTAGAGAGCCATCATTATCAATATTAGACATATTTTCATCAGTTTCCTCCGAATTATAACATGCCGCATTCTGCAACAAAAAGGAAAATTCAATTATAATATTAAATATATTCTCAACTCGCAGTTTTTAATTTCATCAGGTAAATTACTTAGACATAAAGTTTAATTAAAAAAATTTACTTTCACAAAACACAAGATTTATAATATATTTTCCAAAGAAACGATGATAAATTTTTTTATTTATTACTCAATCTCAATGAAAATAATTTACATTCTATTAATTATTAAAAAATGATTTTTTTTAATAATTAATAGAATGTAAATTATTTTCGTGAAAGTTTCGAGATAAAAATAGAAATAGAAAAAAAATAAAAATAGAAATCACAGAAAAAAAGTAGAAAAAAAATACTTTTAATTAAATAAAGGAAGTTTTTACAACTATATTAAAAAAAACGGAAATCATTAAAATAATTGAAATTGCCAATATAATTCACTGCACAAGTTCTAATTCTTTAATTTAAATACTCAATTATATTTGAGTTTTATTTGCAAATTTTTTTACATAACAATTATAGCGATAAGATCGACTTGTGTAACCAATATTGAACAGAAATAGTTCAACTATTAATGCTTTGCTTTCTGCAGATCTAAAATCGACACTAGTAAGTAATGTACTTTTTTTTCACTTGAATTCCATTAATTTTATGTCTTTTAACTTTCACGGAAAATCTTTCGAGTCGATGTTACGAAACCCGGGGTTAATTTCTCTGAGAAATCTCCTATAAAAATCACAAGTGAGTTATTTCTAATTAATAATGGTCAATTAAAAATCAATTAATTTAAAAAACCATATTTCTCTCTACCTGGAAAATTAAATTCACATAGCAGATGAAAACATTTATAATTTTTTAATTTAATTTTATTCTTCCATAAACTTAATCTTAATTTTATTCCCAAGATTATAGAATATACTTTCAAAGAACGCGAACACAACTTAAATTATTTTGATTCTTTTGTAATTAAAAAAAAAAAATTTTAAACACAATTACAATTTTGTTGCAATTGCATTTTTTTGTAATTTGAAATTTATTTTTTGTTTCATTTATTGAAATTGAATCATTTTTTTTTCGAAAACTATGTTTGAAAAAAATTAAAATCAAAAAAACCTGTTGAACATAATTATTGTATTCTGAGGAAATTTATACTTGAAATTAAATTCTAAAAGCCACAAAAGATTATTAGACTAATATGATATCAAGTGTAACACACGTCATTATAATTCGATTCGTTGAAATAAAAATGAAGTTGAAGACATGCGATATGTTTTCCTTACTCAACAAGCTCCTAATCTGAACATCTTTTTTAATATTTAATTAATTCTAGTAAATTAAGCACACTAACAATACTTTTTTCTCAAAATATTACATCAACAAATTTTTATTTTATAATCCAGTCAATTTCAATTCAAAATTAATTAATTAAATTAAATTAAATTTTTAATTTTTTAAATTAAATTTTCAATTAATAAATTAATTACAATTTTCCTTTCGATATTCATTAATTAATACCTAATTAATCAAACAATATCTAATAAATAATTAATTTATCAAAAATTGAGATGGACGATAATAAATATTAATTGATAATAATTTTCTTAAAAGAAAGTAAAAATAAAAATATTAATAATCAATCAATAAATAATTATTATTTTTACTTTTTTTTACGAGAATTATTATAAATTTAAAATTTTTATTAACAATTTTTGTTACAATTGGTAATTAGTAATATTTTTATTTTTAGATACGTTTTTTACAAAAATTATAAACTTATAATTCTTTTCATAACAAAATTAAAATATTAAAATTACTATTTTTATTTTTACTTCTTTAACAAAAATGATTATAAATTATTTATTGATAACTTAAAAAATTGTTACATAAAACAAAATTATTCATTATTTATTATTAAGAAATAAATAAAATAAAAATAAATTTAACAAAATTTACAAAAATTTAAAAACTACGAAAATGCAGAAAAATAAACGTCTGCAAATAATTATCTAATAATTAATTAATTAAATTTAATTTAAAAAATTAGTTAATTAATTAATATTAATTAACAGATTCAATTAAAAATAAAAAAATATATTAATAAATAAAGTGACAATTTTCATATTACAATGAAATTGAAATATTTAAATTTCTTTTTTCTTCGATTTTCTATTCGCTCACTGTTTTTAAATAAATTACGAGAGAAATCCTTTTTTTACAATTTAAGAAAAAAATTTAAATTACGAAGGAATCTCTTTATGAGGACTCATAAGTGATTATTCAATTCTGCAAGGTCGAAATACCATTTTACTTTGTTATCAGCGTAATATTTGAATAGCAATACTTCGTGAAACATAGAAAAAATATTCAAATATCTTTTGCCTGATAAAAAAAAATTATTGTCATAATAACAAATTGTAAATAATAAAAATTTATGAAAACTTGCATATTTTACACTTTATTTTAACTTTATACTTGAGTGAAAAATTTTATTAACGATACTATGAATTTATTCACTTTTATTGTCAATTAACTTTCTTTTCATTAATTCTTTTTATTAATTTTTTTCCATTAATTTTTTTTTTTGCAGTTCAATTTGAAGACGACAAAAAAAATTAAAACAAATTTCTCGAAATTCTCCCATTCGCTTTTTTTTCTTGTTTTTTTTGTATATTTTTCTAGAATTATCGAAGCAAAAATATCTGAGAAAATTAAAAAAAAATCCAATTAAACATTTTCAGAAAGAAGTGGAGAAACACAATTTATTTATTTTTTTTTGTTTTGATATATAAAAAATTCCTCTTCTTTTCATTTAAACTAGTTAACTTTGTAAATTGCTTAAAAAGGATGCAGCTCAAAAACGGGGAGATGTCTCTTAACAGTCTTCGAAGCGGGAAATATTATAGGGGGTCAAAGTCAAGCGCAGTGTAGTTGGTGCTGCATCGCGCAACAGAGTTGTTTCAAATAAGTTGCGCTTCGAATTTAACGTGTGACAATAAAAAAAATAAATAAATAAAAAAAAATATTTTTTTTCATTAAAATTTCTGACTTGCTTTTCAAACGATAATTATTCCGGTGAGTCGAATTTTTTTCTATTAATTACAGACGAAAGAATTTTAATTCACAATTTTAATTTATAAACGTGTAGAATTTCGGAGAATATAGTCAGTTTTCATAGCACAACAAATCACTTTTAACTTAAATGACGATTTCGAACAAGAAAAATAAACAAAAATTTTGTAAATAGCAGAACAAAATCAGAATTGACAGAAAATTTCTTTTAAGCGTCGAGAAAAAAATTTACCTCAGAATTATTCAATAATTTAAATGTATTTTTTATTATTTAATAACTAAAATATATTCTTTTCTTATTAATAGTTAAAATATTTTAATTACTACCTAAATAATAAAAGAATATTTTATTATTTAGTAATTAAGATATTTTTTATTACTCAATAATTAAAATATTTCTTTATTATTTAACAATGAAAATATATTCGTTTATTATTTAGGAGTTTGAATATTTTTTTTTTACTTAATAATTAAAATATATTTCTTTATTATTTAACAATCAAAATATCTTCGCTTATTATTTAATAACTAAAATATTTTTTTTATTTATTAATTAAAATATATTCCTTTAACACTAAATAATTAAACAACGAATATAATTCTACGAAAATAAAATTCAATGTCTAATTTTTAAAAACATTTTTTAAATTCACCCTACAATACAATGAATTCGATTGATAATTAAAATTAACATAAAATTAGTTTTAGACTTTAATTTCCTATCATAGAATAAATAGATCACTTATTATGTTATCTATTAAAACAGTTGTTCATATATGATGCGAATTCATTTAATGATGCAATTCCCTATCATTGTCTAAATAAATTTTAATCATGACTTGTTAGCCTATCACTATCTTTGATTTATAAATGATATTTTTCTATATCACCAACTTCGCTTCCGATAACGATTCTGAACTAGATTATAAAAAAAAAATTGGCTCACTGTTTCCATTCTTCTGTATTCAAAATTTTTTCTCCTCAATATTTAGATTACAATCACAATTTTTTTTTGTAAATAATCAACAATTTTAACTTCTTCAAGTATTTGTTAACATTCTTCTGTCTATTTTTTATTTTATTTTCTTTCAAACGAATTAATAAATTAAAATTAATAAAATAAATTTTTTAAATTACAAAAATTAGAGAAATTAATTGCAGAGAAATTAGAAAAATTAATAAAAATAAAAAAAAATTAATTGTAAAACTAAAAATTATTCTATGTTAATAAAATACGGAACTGACGCTGACAAATACAAACTATACATTTTGCTGAAACAGTGTTTAATCTATTTTAGTGACGAATGTGAACTTCTTGGCGGAAATGACAATTATAGTCTTCAATTTGATCTAATTCGTCAGTCAGATTCTAGGCCGCAATAGCCGCAACTGGTCTTAGAATTGAATAATTTATCAACAATTAAACTTGTAACGTTTGTCACTCAATAGGTATCAATTCTAATAATAACTCAAGACTTTTATTAGCAGGAAAGAGAGAAAAAATAAAAATTACAGAAAAAAATGTAAATTTTTGAAGAAGCACGCATTTTTTAAATTGAAAAAAATAACAATTCTTACATAAGTCACTTCAGAATTGTTGAATAATGAAAACTGGTGATATATCTCCGGACATTGGAAATAAGAGTCAAATTTAATTCACTAGTAAGTCACGAATTAATGTCAAGTATATTATTTGCCTTCTTTTTTTTTTTTGCTTAGAAACACAATTTTTTTCATTACAGTGAGTAGTGGAAAAATAATTTTTGCGACTAATCTATTAATATCTCTTATTTTCGCAAATATAAAAAATTTATCAACTTCAAATAATATTTTTTAAAATCTATATTAATAATTTATAATAAAAACTATAGGAAATAATTTCCATTTTAGAAATAATAGTAAATACTTTGAATGTAAACAAGTTTTTGAAAATCAACAGAATAGTGCAATCTTTTTTTTATCTGATATAATTACCATAATTATTTTAACAAAAAGATACATTTGTTCAAATTGTAACTCGAAAATAGAGCATGTGTTTCAATATACATAATATACTATATCGTTGGCGTCTGAAATAAACTTGGCAGCCTGATTAGAAGCATTTTAACTATTTTGTATATTAAATTTCAAGTTAGAAAAAAAATTACTTTTTATAAAAAAATACATAAAAAAATTTCTAATTTACTGCAAAAAAGAAAGAAAAATTATGGAATTTTGAATATAAATTAAAAGAGAAAAAAGAAACATTAATCAAACATTAAAGGTCATGATTAAAAGAAACTAATAAAAAGGTTTTTTTTTCTTTTCAACAAAAAAAAATATTAATTTTCATTTAAATTTTAACGGTATGCTTTATTTATTCGAATGCATTTATATTCGCGAAGGTAAAATTTTTATGAAGACTGAAAAGAGAAACTAATGTTAAGAGATGTGCAAAGAATTTCAAAGCTTTAACTATTTGGGTTCAAAGTCTTTCCCACTTCATTTTTTCGTTCTCTTGAATATTCAATTCTAAACAGTCTATTGTCATCATGTATGTAATTATCAAATGTCTAACAATTTAAGATTTTCAGCTCTTGAAAAAAAAACAAAAAAACAAAACAAAACATAAATTTCATTACAAAGCATTTCTGCAAAATTCCAATGTCACGGCAAATTACAAAACCACTTTTCATATCTTCGTTTGATAAATAAATTTTTATTTTATTTCGTTTATAAAAAAAAAAAAAAAAAATTCTTTTGGGTAAAATTAATTTTTTTAAACGAAATAAATTGTCTTTTAATCTTTTAAGTAAAATTAATTTTTTAAATGAAATGAAATTAAAATAAATTTAATTAAATTAAATTCAAACACAAATAAAATAAGAACCAAAAAAATTGCTATTCAAAACCAAAATTATTCATTAATTCTAAAAGACCAAAAACGACAGGAGAATAAATTAAGTACGGACCATTTGTAACAATGAGATTTGTTCAGATCACTTTGAAACCGAAAACAATGGCACGTGTCATAGACAATATAGAATAAATTAAATATTTATTTTGCATATTAAAAAAAGGAAAAAAATTATAGAACGCAAATTATGATTGAATAGAGCGTCTAAATTGCATCATGAACTCCTTTTTTAATTAAAAAGAAAAATCTGTCACAATTTGAAAATAAATCTCTAAAAATGCAAATTATTGCAACATAAAAATTGCGATTAGGAATATTTTCTTTTTTTTTCCAGAAATGACAACTAACGACGAGCTTCCCATCAAAGATCTCGAGTCCGTTCTCCAAGAACACATTGGCAATCAATTAAAAATTCAAAATCTCGAATGGAAACATCTCACAGATCCAGGAGAAAATTTCGGCAGTTTAATATTAGCGATAAATTTAAAAGTCGGCGAAAATGGTTCAACAAAATTATTCCATCTTGTCGCAAAACTCCCGCCAAAATCCGAATATCTTCTCGATCTATTCAACAGTCCAATGTCATTTTACAAGGAAATTTATTTCTACAAAATAATAGCACCAGAATTTTTGAAATTTCAACTCACGTCAGAAATTAATAAATCGGAATTGATTAAATTAGTACCAGAATTTTACGGTGGAAGACTTGGTTTAAATAATAAAGAGACATTTGACGATCAAGCGACAATTTTACTGGAGAATCTCAAAATTCAAGGCTACAATACCGAAGATCGTATAACTGGTATGAACAAAAAACACATGTTGTTTGCAATCAAACAATTAGCACGTCTTCACGCTCTGACAATTGGTTATAAATTAAAAAACCCCAATGATTTTAAATCATTGATAATGCCCGGTTTGGCTAATGTTTATAATAAAGCATCGGAAATTGGCGTACAAGATATGATCAATAAAGCAATGGGAAATTTAAAAACCCTCAAGGAAGTCGAATCACAAATACCAAATGTCATAAAAACCATGGAATATGGCGCTGAAAAAATGATAGTACAACCAAAAGAACCATGGGCAACATTGGTGCACAGTGATTTTTGGGTGAATAATATGTTATTCCTTCACGATGACAAAACGAAAGAAATTATTGACATGAAAATTGTTGATCTTCAATTGACGCAGTACGACGATGGTTGTCTAGATTTAATATTTATGATAATGTCCAGTGCAAAGGCAAATGTTATTGATGAAAATTTAGACGAAATGATTGATACATATTATTCATCGTTTATCGATTATTTGAAAGTTCTTCATATTAACGTGAAAGAATTCACGAGGGATGAATTCGATAAAAATGTCATCGAATCAGCGCGACGACGATTAGATCAATGTTTAATGATGGTTCAAGTTATACAAGCAACACGTGGCTCAGCACGAAGAGTTGACAATATCAAGAATAAGGAAAACTTTCTCGACATGGGAAGAAGTAAAGAGAATGACGAAAAATTAATACACATTGTAAAGATATACGAGAAGCGAGGATGGTTTTGCTAATCAGTTTTAAAAAATCGTATCAAGGAATCTTCTTTTATGATTCCGAAAAAATGTAGATAGAATAATAAAGTAAGATTGAATATAAGATTTTATAAAAAATATTTAAAAAATATTAAAAATAAGATTTTTAAAAAAAGATTTAAAAAGAGAAATTACAAAAAAGATTTTAAAAAAAATTACAAAAGATTTTTAAAAATAAAGGTTTTAAAGTACAATATTAATTTTTATATCTTTCTATACGAAAAATTGAAAATGATTCAATATTTTAGAAACTATAGTATTTTTCCACTGTAATATAAAATTCTTTTTTTCGAAAAACAAAGTTATTTCTATTTATCTACCGTAAACATGTGTTCACTGTTTCTACGAAGAAAAAAAAATTGTTACGAATAAATGCAAAATTATTCGCATAAATGTGATAAGATAAAAAAATTCTATATTTTAATGTATATATTTGCAAGAACAATAAAAATGTTACGATTACTTGAATTTTCTGTCATTTTATCCTGTTCTTTATCACTAAGTTCTCTTTAAAAAAGAAAAAAATGGTATTTTAATTCTCACCTCAAGAAGGTCAGCAACAGCGTCTGGTAAATTGAATTCTCGAACAACACGAAGTCGAACTTGTCTATTAATTTCGTGTCGAGATGATAGAGGTAAACTAATCGCACGTTGACAGCTGGGAGCTTGTCTTAACTTTTGTTCTCGTTTCAACATTGCTGACATTGTTGCAGTGTCTGGAACTGTAAGAAAAAATTTGTAGAAAAAATATAGAAAAGAAATTTTTTTATATAGACAATGAGAAAAAATATAAAATTACAATTATTAAAAATAATAATACTAACCTGGAAGAGCGGCAGCTAAAATATCAACACCTACAGCTCCCATGGCCCTTGGCTTTTCATCAACCATATAAAGAGTATCAGGAATGTCAGGAATGTAACGTGCTCTTCTTAATCTCACTAATTCAACTTCTTGAACCATTTGTTCTTCGACTAGAGCCTAAAGAAAAAATAAACAATTAAGTCTCATAGTTTTTGAGTCTCATTAAATTTATTTTACTTAATCATTGCTTTTTACTAATTCAATCTTTTCTTAATAAATTTTTTCTAGTGTTTTTATTAAGACTTCTTTTTATTTATTAAAATCAAGATCTTGATATCAATTTTTTTATTCAAATCAATCGCTTTTTATTGAATCAAAATTTTTCATTTGGTTTAGTATTCTTAGAATTGTTTGTCAATCAAGAATTAGTATAAACGAAAAAAACGAATAATCCAAATAATTCGCTATTTACCTTAATCTCTTCGTAATATGGCATAAATAATCGAGGCCTCACGAAGAGTCCATTTTTCTTCCCACCTCGTATCCAAGCATTCACTCGTAAATTTTCACGTTCATCACCTATCATATGACTGGGCGGAGTCGAAACCAAACCTCGTCGAATCGCCTAATTATTTATTGATTTGGAAAAGAGAAAAATATATTTTATTTCAAATTTAATTCAATTTACTTATCAATATATAGGGAGAGTATTTAAATTATTAAATTACTAAGAATTTAAATTAAATAACCACTTAAGGATTACCACCAAAAATTTGATTTCTTTCCCTGATTTGCAGAAAGAATTATAAGTTTTTCCTTAATCCAAAAGGACATTTTGATTCTACTGTAACTTTTTCAAAATTATTTTCAAGATACCTATCAATTTAATTATTTTCTAGAATTGTTAACTAAGGTTCTTCTCTAAATCAATCAATTATTTTTAATAATTTTTGACAATTCAATTATTCAAATAAAAAAAAGAAAATTTCAATTTGATACCTTTTTAAATTCAATTATTTATAAAAGTTGTAAACGCAACTTTTATAAAATTCAATTAATTTTGGAATTTGTAACTAAAATTCTTCTCGTAATCAATTATTTATAATAAAGACAAAATTCTTTGAGAGTTCTATTATTTAAAGAAAAAAAGAAAATTCACCTAAAATAATTCTGAAATAAAAAAATTTTCCAATTATATAATTCAAAGCTGATTTCCAAACAATTTACAATAACAAATTTTTCAAAAAGCTAACTTCTTCAGAATTTTGAATTAAAATTATATAAAATTTTTATTTTCCATAATTTCAAATTGAAACATTTTAAAATTCATTATTTATAAAAATTGTAAACGAGATTCTTAAAAAAATTCAATTATTTTTGAAATTTTTAAATAAAATTGTTCTCGAAATTAATTATTTTTAATAATTTTTGAGAAAGTTTTTTGAGAGTTTAATTATTTCTATCTTTAAATAAATTTAATTACATATCCTGTGAAGTTCAATTATTGTGAGAAAAATAGAACTTGAGGATGAATTAAATCTTATTGTTGTCTATGGCAGTGCTGCAGATTTAAATTGAATTTTCAAAAAATATAAAAACTTTTAATTAAAAATTGTTTGTTAATTTTCATTCTAAATTAAAATTTCTAGAAATACATTTTCATCAACTATTATTTTTATCTATTTACAATATTTTATAATAAACTGGGATCACAGTGATTTTTCTATGTAATATTAGATAAAAAAGGGAATTTTTATTTTATAAAAGGGGATTGTTCAATTTAGGCAACAAATTATTGTAATGATACTTTTATTTTTAAATTCCGTGAATTTTACTACATTCGAAGTAAATTTCAATATAAAAATTAGTAAAATTTACTTCGGACTTTGTATAATTTTCTCCAAAAAAAAGTAAAATTTATTATTAAAAATTGTTATTTTTTGAATAACTTTTACTGCTTCCGTAGAAAATTTCTTTATAAAAATTTAAAAAATGTACCTTTATTTAATTTAGAAGTAGCAAAATTTACTCTGTAAATAATAATTTTTAATAACAAATTGTAAAACACAGGAAGAAAATTTAAAAAAGCACACAAAAATTAATTATAGAAAAGAAAAATTTGCCATTAAGAATCGTAATTTGTAGTTAATTTTGGAACATCCGAAGTACATTTTAATACAAAATAGTAAAATATACTTTCAATTTAGTAAAATTTATTACAGAAATAGTAAAAGTCGATAGAAGTTTTAAATAGTTTGGGATTTACTTTGTAAAATAATATAAAAGTATTTTTAAGTTTCAAAAAACTAAAATATTTCCAAAGTTTGCAAAAAAAAGTAGAAAGTTTTCTTCAAAATAACTAAAAAAAATGTTAAACTTACAAAAAATGCCAATTTAAAAAATATTTTTTAATAAAGAGGAAAAGGGGAGAATATACTTCACTTTAGGTCTTTTAGGGAATTTTATTAATTGAAGGGGATAAAAATAAGAAAAAGGGGACTAACTGTGATCCCTGTAATTAAGAAGGAAATTCCAAATTAATTTAATTTAATAATCATAATTTTACCTGCGCGAGAATTTCACTGTTTGGCGGTAAAACGTGATCCATTCTGACGAGGGGCAAAAGTTCGCTTAATATTTCTCGTAATTCTATATCACTGAGATCCCTCTTCTTAACGCCTTTTCTCGCCACTGAATGAACAGTATGACTGAGTAAATTAGGTTCTCTGTCCTCCATTCGTCGAACGAGTTCCTGTTCACCCCATTTCAGTACAGCCTGTAGCACTTCCAATTCGCTCGCCTGAAGGAAATGACTTTGGAGAACGTTTGACAAGTGTCCAAGATCTAATTGATGAAGGATAGGCGATGAAGCCACCGGTTGAAATTCCTCTCTCAGATAATGAAGCGCTTGTCTGTGAACCCATGCTGAACCATGCGGTTGACTTCCCCATCTGTCATTTGGAAAAAAATGTATATCGTCAATTTTAAATTCATGTTTACATTTGAACAAATAATAAAATAAAGTATTTTGTTTTTGAACTAATTATTTATTATTTCTTTTACATGGTTGCCACGCTTTTGCTCATTTCATATTCTTTGACTTTTCCATGTTTTTAAAACTACATTTATATTTTACAAAATTAAATTTATTCAAATTCAAATTTTTTTGAAATTCAATAATTAAAGATGAAAGAATCATTATTTTATATTATAAGAATATTGTTACCGTAACTTCTTCAAAATTACTTTCACCACTTCAATTAAATTATTGTTTTTCCCGAATTTTTAACTAAAATTCTTCTCTAAATTAATTAATTTTCATAATTTTTGAAAAATTTTTCTTCGATAATTTTCAAATTCTTTTGTTTACAATTCAATTTTACGAAATTTCATCGATTATTCGAAAATTCTTCAATCAAAGAAAATAAAATTAGAAATTAGAAAATAAAACCTTGAAATAATTTCAAAAAAGTTCCATTAAACTTTTTGAAAAAATTAAATCTACACAATTTTCAGTTAAAAGTATGAAAAATTCAAACTTTCAAAGATTATAATTTGAAACCTTTTCAAAATTCAATTATATCTTTATATCTAAAAATTCACGCTATACTACTTTATATTTAATTATTATCTAAAATTTCAAATGAAATTTATTCATTTTTAAATCAATTCTTATTAGAAAATTCTACGAGAATTCAATTATTTAAATACAAAAATAAATAATTTATTAAATTATGAACATTTTCTCAGAATTAAATTCTCATAAAGAAATTTATCAACAAATTTTTAAATAATTAAAATTCTTTTGAAGAATTTTAATAAAATTTTTAAGAATAATTTCATTTTTCAAGAAATTTGATTAAAATTGCATTAAAAATAATCGAATCTCTGTAAAAATTGGATTATTTATGAAAACAATGGAATTATTGCGACGAAATTTATAAAAAAAATTGTAAATAATTAAATTCCTATGAAATTCTTATTAATTTGGAAAATTTTATTATTTATAAAAATAATTGATATTTTTACCAGATTTTTTGTAAACTTTTTAACGTAATTGAATTTCTGCGAAGAATTTCATTATTTTTGAAAATATTGGAATTCTTGAGACGAATTTTATTTATATTTCTTTTTCAATAATTGAATTATTTTGTGAAATTTTATTGAAATAGTAGATATTAAAAATAATTGAATTTTTACAAATTATTGAAATTGATTAATTTTCTAGGAAAATTTTTATTTAAATTTTTGAAAATAATACTTAAATTCTAATAAATAAATTTTAGAAAAGCTTTTTAAGATAGGTAATTGAATCTCTGCAAAGAATTTTGATATTTATAATGATAATTGAATTCTTGACAAAAAATGTATTATAATTTTTAAAAATAATTGAATTTCTTTGAAGAATTTTGTAAAAAAAATTTTAAATAATTTAATTCCTACTAAGAATTTTGTTCTTTATGAAAATAATTGAATTCTTACGAAGAATTTTGTTATTTATAAAAATATTTGAATTCTTTTTAAGAACTTTATTAAAAGTTTTGAAAATTTTATAATAATTTTTGAAAATAATTGAATTCCTGTGAAATTTTTCATTATTTATGAAAATATTAAATGTTTAGTAGAATTTTATTAAATTTCTTTAAATAATTGAATTCTTTACTTTTGAAAAATTATATTAAAAAAGTAAATATTGAAAATCATTCAATTGAGAAAAATTTTTGCAAAAATAATTGAAATTTTGCCAAGAATTTTATTTAATAAATTATTTAATAATTATTTAATTAATTTTGAATTTAAGTAAAATTAGATTTCAAGAATAAGGACAACAAATTTAGAAAACAATTTTCCAGGATTACGATCAAAATTCCCTGACTTTTCCAGGTTTTTCCAACGTTTATAAAATTTTTTGACATTTCCAGGTTTTCAGGTTGCGTGGCAACCCTGCTCGAGTTTATAGAAAATTTTTTATTTACTTGAGATAATTTATTTCGCCTCAGAAAAGAATTTCCTATATTTTTAGATTCATTGAGAATAGTATTGGATAATATTAGAAATTAATAATTAAAAAAAGGAATTTCATACCGAAGGACAGTTGGAAGTGAATCGAGTGTGAGCCATTCTAAAATAAGATCTTCACAGCCTTGAGAAAGAATGTCAAGTTCGAGAAATCTGCCTATTTGATAGAGTTCCATTGCTTCCTCGAGTGGACTCGGTCGCATTCGACCTGTGTGCGTTAATGCTTGAACCTGGTAAACAAAAAGAAAATCTTTACTTCCATTCATTCTATTTTTTAAGGCTAATTTAATTAATTTTACGAATTTAAAATTTAATCAATTTTACAAATTCAATAATGAATTTGTAAACTTAATTTAATATAGAACATATTTCATATAAAAAATGTATAAAATTATAAAATACAAAAAAAGAATATAAAGAGTAAAAAAATTAAATAAGTGAATAATTTTGAATGAGTAAAATAATAATAACCTCTCCAAGACTTCCTGCACTATTTCCACAGCCGCCGCCACGTAAAATCAATGACAAATCAACAGTGTCAAGATAAACAGCATGAAGTAATACTCTCGCGTAACGTTTTGGAATAACACTCTCATCGAGAACAATTCTCGTTGGTATATGAAGTGCACGTTCAGTATGATCCTCGCCCGATCTCGTTCGCCTTTGAATAAGATTACGGAAAAACGGCGATCGCGCCGAAAGTATTGCTTTATGACATGGCAGCTCTAATTTTGGCCTAAATCCATACTCAGAACTTCCGCTGTCTGGTCTTTGGTAATCGTTATCCGATGTGAATACTAATGCCGCGTCAGCGTAATCACCAGTGTCGAGTAAATATCTAAGATCATGCTCAAGTGGATTTGGAGTTCCAAATTCATCACCCAATCGACGCAAAAGATTTGTATCCAGTGAAGTATCATGCGGACATATATCACCAGTATATAAATATCTTAATAATGCCGAGAACATTGGAACCTCCAAAAGTGGTGTTCTCAGCTCCAGACAAATGCGAGCACCATAGCCTGAAATTAAAAGGGAATCATTTTCTTCAATCACTAACGAAAACAATGTTTCTCAAAGTCTAAATTCTGAAAACTAAATTCTGTAGAATTTAGTTTTGTTCAGAAATATTGTATAAATGTATAACTGTATTTTAATGTACGTTCTACTTTTTAATTTAATTCAAGAATTTTTATATTCTCTTCTTTTTTAAAGCTAATAGTTCATCAGTCAACTATAAATAACATAATCGATAATTACTTTCATAGATGAGAGAAATAAAAAAGTCGCTGAAGAAAAATAAAGATTGAAAAAAGGAAAAATTAAAAAGTATATTTACCAGGACATCCTGCCAGTAAATCTCTAAAATAGGGGCACCGCGCCGAGAGTAAAGCTCTGTGGACTGGAAAGCAAGCGCCTCTGTAGACGAGGTCCACGTCCGTGCAGTGCTTAAAATCGTAGAGCGTTGACAAGTCTTGTTTGAAAGTTGTCGCAGGCGGCCTGGCCAATTCTGCCTGAACGTGTAAATCTTTGAGTGCCGCTAGAGCTTCATATTCTTCTAAAAGAGCACCAGCTTCCAAAGGACTCCATGACGAAACTAGTTCCCTTATTATTCTACCATGATCACATGCCTTTGATGATCTACGTCTCCTAATGAATTTCTTTCGTAAAGTGGCGAATCCAGTCACTTTCTTTTTTCTTTCCCTGAAATAATGCAAATTTTTCGATTAATTTTCATTAATTAAATTAAATTAAATTAAATTAAATTAAATTCAATTAAATCAAATTTTTTGTCTATACGAGGAATTTAAGTATTTAAAATTGTTTTAATTATTTTAAATAGTTTAAAATAACAGTTTTTGCTTCGAAATATTTTCCATTTACGAATATATTCGAAATCTACAAAAACAAAAAAAATTGTAGTCAAAAAAGAGAGTTATTTGCAGAAACAAATTACATTCTTCTTCTAACTTCAGTTCTTTGGAAAAAATAACCAAAAAAGGATATTTTTTCGCAATTTGATTTGAAATGGCCAGCGCCTCAATAATCTCCGACTTTGAGGATAAATCAGCAAAAGGAAAATTGCCTGACCTATTCAAATTAGTGGATCAGGAGAAAAGAAATTTGGTTCAACTCTTAAAAGATGCTGTGTCAATACCGTCAATAGCTCACGAAGAGAAACATTTCTCTGATATACTCGAAATGGTAACGAGCACTTTTACGTTCAATTGAAATACATTAAAATTGCCATTACATTAATAATTTATTAGAAAAATTAAATATTTATTTAAATATTCTATAAATTATTAAATATTTTATTAATTATGTAAATAAAAATTATTAAATATTCTATAAATTATATAAATGTAAATTATTAAATATGTGGAAAAAACATGAAAAAGCAAACAGAAAAGAATACTATAGGTAAAAATTAACTGTTTATATAATGGCAAAAAAAATTCTTCTCTCTATATTCGGAAATTGGAAATAATACAAAATTCACCCAATTATTAATAATTAATTCATGTAAATTTAAATAGCTAAATTTCTGCAAGAAGGAACTAACGTCTCTGGGAGCAAAAGTGCAAGTAATTAACGTTAATCAAGAGACAGAAAAATCGCCACCTGTTTTATTTGCAACTTTAATTGCCGATGAACTCGTAATTAACAAAACAATCTGTGTCTACGGATCCGTTGGTTAGATAAAAAAATTATGAAATCATTTTTCCAAAATTAAATAAAATGTTATCTAATTTTATGTAATTTTATCTAATTTTATCTAATTTAAAATTATATTATAAAAAATTGTACTCAAGACAAAAATTTAATTCTCCAGACATGCCACCTTTAACTAAATCGAAACAAGAGAAAAATTCCTTTCAATTAATTGAGAAAAATGAGAGACTTCACGGTTATGGAGTCACACAAAATAAAGGACCTCTAACATGCTGGCTAAATGCTTTAAAAGTATATAAAAAAGCCAAAAATAGAATTCCGATCAATATTAAATTTGTCATTGAAGGTACCGCAGAATCACATAGTTCAAGTTTAAAGCGGGCAATTCAATTGAAACCCGATTTTTTCAACGATATCGCCTATTATTGTCTCACTATTGATAAAAAAGTAAATAACATACCCTGTTTAAAATATGGATTTCGTGGAACTTGTCATTTTTCGTTGGAAATAAATTGTGGGGGAAAAAATGTGCACACCGGAAGTTATGGAGGTGCTTTTCAGCAACCACTTTTAAATGCCGTGAATGTCGTTGGAAGTTTATTTGATAAAAATGGCAAAATCTCTGTGACAAAAGTAAATCAGGCAATTTTAAACAACTTTTTTTAATTATTAAGAAATAATTTTTGAATATTCAAATTTAAAATGACAATAAAAGAATAATTAGCAGAAAAAAATAATAAATAGAAAATATAAAAAATAGAATAAATAATAAACAGTAAAAATAATAAATAGTAAAAATTAATAAATAGAAAAAAATAAAAAATAGAAAAAATAATAAATAGTAAAAATAATGCTTAATTCGTATTAATTTCACTAAATGAAAAAAATCGATTTTATATTAATTTTACAAGCTCTAATAAGTAAATTTTTTTTTGGAATTATTCCCCGAGATGGAGATTTAAATTAAGTCAACTATGTTTTGATATTAAAATGAAAAGGAATTTAATTACAGTTAGTCAAGGAAGTGGAGACCTTGTCCCTGGAGGAAGAAAAATATTGCAAGGAATTTCCTTTTAATGTTGAAAAATTAAAGGAAGAAGTTGGAACGAAACGTTTAAAACATAAGGAAAAAAGTATCCGTTTACTGATACATAAAACCCGTCTCCCCACTATTAGTGTTCATAATTTTAATATGTCCATCAATTCTGACGATATTCATAATTTAGCTTTCGCCTCTAACAAGTAAAAAAAAGTTTTTATAGAAATTAAAATTAAAAAAAGGATTTTAATAGACAAATAATGAAATTATGAAATTATTCAACTAGAATTTTAAGCAGTTATAATTTTTAAATTTAAATAAATATCAATTTTTGTAATTAAATAAATAACAGTATAATTTTTATATTTCAATAAATAACAGTATAATTTTTATATTTAAATAAATAACTGTATAATTTTTATATTTTCTATTAAAAGGGTCACTGTCAATTTTTCCGTTCGATTGGTTCCAAACCAAACGGCAGAAGAAACGTTTCAAATTCTTGAAAATCATATTAAACAAATTTGGCATGAGAATGGAAACGTAAATTTTTACAATTTTAAAATGAATTTTGGATATGATCCATGGAAAGAAAATCCTTCGAGTCCTCATTACAGAGCTGCAGCTGAGGCTATTAAAATAGTACAAATTTGGAATTTTCCACTAAAAGTTTTCTTTTTTAATTATTTTTCCCTAAATTCATAATTATTTTTTCAATTTTAATTTTTTTAGGTCTATAAAAGAAACCCTCTTTACGTCTGCGAAGGTTACACATTGCCAGCTGTTTCGATAATAGCGGAGGAATTTTTCGAAAGTGATTTAATTGTTATTCCACTTACGTAAGTGTATAAAACATAAAAATGATTAATTTAATTTTTATTCACTTCTAAACTTTCCCGATGATAATTTTTCCTTTATTAATTTAAATTTATTCTGGCGTTGAAATTATATGTTTAAAAAACTGCCAATTAGAAAAATAGTGCAATTTTAAATCGTTAATAGTAGGGAAAGTATTTTTGTATAAATTTTCCATTGCAGATGTGTGGAAAATGATGTTCAATCAAATATGGAATCAATTTCGATTATTGATTATATTAACGGAATAAAATTGCTCATCGCTTATATGTGTGAAATTCACGATATGAAATAGTCCCCTCATCAAAGGGAGGTTCAAATACAGAAAATTAAATTTTACTCTAAAATGAATGAAATGAATGAAACAAAATTTAATTACGAGTTTTGTCAAGAGTGAATAGATCTTACAAACGAGGAAGATTAATTTTCAAGGATTATTTGATAATTTAGAATTTCGAATTTTTGTTAGAATTTAGGGTTTGAAATTTAATTTATCATAATTTAGAGCTTGAAATTTAATTTATTATAATTTAGGTCTTGAAATTTAATTTACTAGAATTTAGGGCTTAAAATTTAATTTATTATAATTTAGGTCTTGAAATTTAATTTAATATAATTTAGGGTTTGGAAATTTAATTTATTATAATAAAAATAAATTAAATTTCAAACTCTAAACAAAAATATAAATAACTTAAATTTCGAAAGAAATTTAATTTATTTAGGGTTATTTATATTTTTGTTTAGAGTTTGAAATTAATTTTATATTTTTTTGGGGGGGAAATATTGACGATGGTAAAATGTACCTGACAATAATTCCAAGTGGCTCGGGATGTCCAGAAGATGAGAGCCTTGCTGCCTGTATCGGATCACCACCGACAGCGGCTATACTCGAAGAAGCGGATGCTCCCATTCTTTGGGTCATACAAGAAACATCCCCTCGTCCTCTTCCTGTGGACCAGCAATTTCCACTGCCGCCACTTTCGCTGCTTTCCCCACTGCGATGCAGTGCACACGGAATCAAAGCCCGGAACACGTTCATCGCTTACCCAGACACCAGCCTAAAAAAATCGTCTAATTATTAAACTGTTAAAAATTTACCACTTAATTTAATTAATTTTCAATGTCGTAATTCATATTTTTTTTTAAATATTTTTACACAAAAAGATATTAAAGTAAAATTATTTGTAAATTAAATAAAATTGTGTAAACGTAACAAATTAATTGAAAATTTGTTTATTTGAAAAAAAATTATGGAAACTAAAAATTGATAAAAAAAACTGTTTTACTTAAAAATCATGAAATTAATTTTCAATCACGTATTTGCCATTTTATTTTTTTAATTAAAAAAAATTGAAAAAGAAATTTTTTTAACTTCGTTTTTTTAAAGACTAACAATTTTTTTTTAGGGAAAAATTGCAAATGAATTAGCAATTATTCAATATTTGCGAATTATCACTTACTTAAATTATTATTTATTCTTGAAAACTTTATTCTTGTCAAAATTTACTCATTTCTAGACAAAATGTTTATTTCCAAAAATCTCATAATAGAAAAATAAAAATATTTACAGAAATTAAAAAAAATAAATAAAAAAATAAAAATACGAAAAAAAATACGTAACGAATTCGTATTTAATAGAAATTTCGTAAGAATAAATTATTTAAAACAAACGATGATTTTAAAAAATTCATTGAAACTAGAATTTTTAATTAAAACGTCAAATATTTACAATCTTCGAAAAATTGTCAAATATAAATTTTTTTAAATACAATTTTTCTGAAATAAAACAATTTTTACTATGAAAAATATAATTATATTATATTATATTTCTATAATTATTTTAAATAAATACCTCCATTTTAATAAAATTAGGACAATTATTTACAAAAAAAGAAAAAAAAATGTTCAAGAACAAAAAAAAATCAATGAATAATTACTGTGTAAAAGGATAACTGTTTACGCACTGACAAAAAAGGGAAGCACAGCACTTGTCATGAGCACTTATCAGCTGTATCATATCTAATAATTTACCACAGCTGTTTTACCTTAAAAATTTAATAAAAACATCAAACTTGATAAAACAATATTAGTAAAATAATAATTTTCTAATGACACCCACAATTAATTGTTTGAAAATAAGAAGAAGATTTGAAAAAAAAATTGCTCGACCTAGATAAAAAAAAGGACTCCGAAATATCCCGCGACGATGAATTGAAAAAAATATTGTTTTTACCAATGTTCTAACCTACTTTCATGCTTAAAATACTATTTATAGTGGTATTGCATTAAAAATTATTACCTGGGTCCTTTGTGCACATATTTCTTGATCGTTTAATTACGATCGCAGTAAAATATTTTTCGATTTAATTACACACAAACACCCATCACACAACACGCCGGCGGCCATGTTTACAATCAGGTGCACCCCAAAAAGCACCAAATAACAAACTTTTATTATTAATGTTTACCAGCACATTTTTCACAAATACTAAAGATTAATGGGAATGAGAAAAATGAAAAATTATATTTTTCTCTATTTTTTCTTCTTGATTTTGTCGTTATATGACTCGATTTGGTGACAATCCCGTTAGATTCAAAACTTGCACTTGAAATGTCAATTTAACATTCAATAATCAATCATCACTGATATTTTCGATCTTTCATTTTCTTTGTTTTCAATAATCTTCAAATTAAATTGCACTTAATTAGTCGATGAACTTCTTATTATTACATATTTTATTTAAAGGAAATTCTCCCTTAGCGACAGAGTTTTGTTAGGTCAGATGCAGGGATGGGTAAAAGTGTTTTTTTCGGAGTTTTCTACGTATAATACATAAATGACGTATAATACGTAGAAAATTGTAGAAAACCTGGTATTATACATGTCCAGTTCTGCGCATGCGTACAAACCTCACAATAATAATAAAAATCATATGTTTGATTATTTTTTATTTGTTTCCTGGTTTTCATTACTAAATTGTTGCTAAAAATACCAAGAAAAAACCAAAAAAGGTTACATATAAGGTAAGTTTACAAAAAAATGCGTATAATATATATTTATTGATTTTTCATATGGTTTTTTACACACATTTTTTCATAACTTGTATTATATATTTATATAGAACAATTTTAAAAAGACACGTTAATTTATTATTTATTTGAAAATAAACGGGTTTCAAATAAACTTTTTCATACAAAAGTACTAAATTATTATTATAGCTGTATTTTGCAATGTTTTGTTGCAAATAGGACACAGGGCAACATTTTTCCCTTTATTATTTTTGGGAATAAAACACAATTCCTCCCAGGAATTGTGTTTCGGCCTTCCACCTCTTTTGTTAATTTTTTTTTATTTTAAAAAAAGCAATATTGTACAACAATCACTGACACATGGCCTGGCACATGGAGATGTATAACCTATAAATGGGTCTGGCGGCAGCAGACAACCTGACCTGACCACGAACAGTTAGAACTTTGTTTGTGTGCTATTTCTTTAAAACATAAATTTTAAAAAAACTTTTCAATGTTAATTAATAAATTTTTAAATTGAAATTATGTTTAAAATTTATTTAATATACTATTAAAATCACATGTTTCTTGTCTAAAATTTAAAAATCCCGCGCGTCACGCAATGTATGTAAAATACATGACATACGTAGAAAACTAAAGATGTATAATACCACGTATTATACGTGTAGAAAACCAGGTATAATACATCATGTATAATACGTACCCATCCCTGGTCAGATGCGACGGAAATTAACCTAACCTGATGTCAGTATAATAATCAGGACAGCCAACCTTGAAAAAAAATCAAACCAATCCCATAAGATTTTGCAAAAAAAATAAAAACAAATTTTAAACTAATTTTAATTATTGTAATTGTAAGAAATAATTTTCAGTATTTTAATTATTCAAGAATAATATTGTTAAATTTTTTAAAAATTTCCTATAATTCAAATTTATAATTTTAAATTGCAATTACGGAAGTAAGGGAATTTAAATTTGAACAATTTGAAATTCGACACTATTGCAAAATTATATTTACGATATTGGAATATTTTTTTATTAAATTCTTGCAAAATGTTAGTAAAAAAAACTCATCTTTCGTTATTCTAGACTATTTTTTAATAATCAGGTGTTAAAAAAAACAAAATATCGATTAACAATAGATTTAAAAATAGAGGTGCACTACTGCAATTTGACAACGTTAGTCAAAAGCAGGATTGTAAAATTATTTTCCAAACAAAATTAAATAAATATTTTCAAGTATTTCATTGGCATTGTTTCATAATTTATATTAGAAAAAATATTCCCTCCATTTTTTGAATACAAACCGAATTTTTTCAATAGTGGGAGAAATTATATAAAAAAGTAAATTTGACTTTAATTTGACTTGTTGAAACAACTTCCTATGCACTTTGCGCATACGCAAATACTTCACCCTTGGCATGAGACCATTTTTTGCCAAAAAAAAACGGTCATTTATTTCTGAAAATTCAGCATAGTTTACAATAAGGAAAAATGGCACTTCAAAATATTAATAAAATAAGGCCATTGATTTTTGGAATCACTCAACAACAATGCAGAACTTTAGTTTCTTTACCTCCAAGACACAGAATGTCATTAATAGTAAGTTTAATTTTTACTTTTTAATTTTTGCATTCCTTACGTAATAATTAATTTTATTGCAAATAATTGGTTTAAAATTTAATTAAGATTATAAATAAAAAAAGCTGTCAGTTAATTAAAAAAAATTTTATTCAAAAAATAAATCGAAGAAAACTAACATTTCTATTTTGAACAAATTATTATTTATATAACTACAAACAAAAAAAAACAGTTTTTAAATTTAATACTTAAAAAAAACGTAACTTTAAAATAAACTATTTTATTTAAAACTAAATTTAGAAATAAAACTTTTTAATTTAATTAATTAATTTAATATTAATTTTAATTTTTATTGAATTAATTTAATTTTAATTTTAATTTTAATTTAATTAATTTAATTAATTTTTAATGTCATAATTCATATTTTTCGAATATTTTTATATTAAAGAGTTATTGAAGTTAAATTATTTGTAAATTAAAATTTTTTAAATGTAGAAAATTGATTGAAAATTTGTTTATTTGAAAAAGAAAATATTAAAAATATTTTAGAAATAAAAATTTGACAAAAAAACTGTTTTACTTAAAAAGCAATTCAAAAATTAAAATTTATAAGCTCTAATAATTTTTTTAGGCGAAACTTGCAAATGGGTTTGCTATAGCATCTGCAGTCATGGCTACTCCTTTGTACATTGCAACAAATCTTAAACATTACAAAAAATAGAAAAAATCAAAATATAGTTTTACTTAATTTAAATTGAAAATTATTAATATTTCTTGTATAATAAAAAAATAAAATATAGAGAATTGAAATAGAATATTTTTTATATTCATTTTTATTTAATTATTTTTATTTAATTATTTTTACTTAATTATTTTTATTTACTTTTATTTAATTATTCTTGTTAAATTATTTTTATCAGATTTATTGAGTTAATTAAAAGTAATTTAAATTTTCATGGACAACAAAGATAAGTAAACTTTTTTTTAATGATTTTAATTATTTTAATAATATTTTCTGTGCAATAATTAAAAATTTCTTTTCATCTAGGGCGATGGAGAAAATTATTACGATCCTGAATCGGGAATTTTTTTATTGGGCATAACTATTTTCTCCAGGAGAATTCCACTGAAAGGACCAATAACGTTTTCTTTTTTTTAGCCAATGAATTTAAAAATAAAGGAAAGGTCCTTCAATCTCTGCTTACGTCATTGGAATCAATCACAACTACAACTACATTGAAGGGGTTTACTACTTGTAAATTAATCGACTATCATTTGGATGGAAAATTAAATTTCTGGTTGAAACAATAGGTATGTTATAAAAATTACGATTATATTACAGAAAAATTGATTTTTTTTAGCCTACAAGATTTTTTTCGTTAAAAATTAAAAACTGGGTTAAGAATTTTAATTATTCTGTAGAGAAATATTATTCTGAATACTCATATATTATTTTTACCCTAGTTCTTGATTTATTAATTTAAACTAATAAAAAAATAAAATTTCATACTCTGGTCTTTAAATTTACAGGTATATTAGTTTTATGCTTTAAATTCACTGCTTTTAATTTACAGTTACATCACATTCTCGAGTGATCGATATCACAAGGGACAACTTTTGGAACAAAAATTTGGAGGATTTGGAGTAATTGTTTTGATTCGCCTTTGACGTTTATGATTAAAAATAAAAAATGCTTCTCTCCAGAAACATCATTTCCACCATCAGAAATCCTGCTGCTACTAATGCAGTTATAAAAAGGAGTTTAGTTTCTTTGCCACCAAGATATCGAATGTCTCTTCCAGTGAGTTTATTCTTATGTATCTTTAATTATTATTAGTACAAGTATTTAATAATCAATTTTGGTACTTTAATTGTTAAAGAAAAAGCTACATTCAATTTCACTCAATAATAGGAAGTACTAAAGTTCTATTGTTTCAAAACAAAATCGAATCTTTAAAGGTGACATAACCTTAAAAATCGTTCAATTTTTAATTTTTACTCATGTGATTATATAATTTTCGAACCCACTAATTTTAACTTTTATTAAAGCAAATGATTTTTCAAAAATTTATTGTTTTTCCTTAATAAAATTATTCTTCTTATCAATCACGAAGTAATATTATCAATAATATTAATATAAATATCAATAATAACAATTAATATCAATAATAATTATCTAATAATCTATTTTATTATTTAAAATTGTTTTCTTTAAATTGTCTTTTTAAATTGTTTTTTTCAAATTGTTTTTTTAAATTCATTTGGTACGTCTTTCAATTTAAAAAAAAATGTTTACAATAAGATACAATATTTGTGATCAAAACTGAATAAGTATAATTTAAATCGTGTTTTTCTCTTATTTTACCTTACTTTTTCTTTTTCTCTAACAATAAATAGATAACCAAAGTGAAAATTGATTTTTCTAAGTGTTAGAAAAGAATTTTTTCAATTATACAAATTTCAAATTTAAGAAATTTAAAAATGATTTTTTCTTTTCAGCTTAAAGTATTAAATGGAATGCTCCTAGCATCAGGAATAATGGCATTTCCAATGTACGTCTGCTACAACCTCAAATATTACAGAGGTTCATCAGAATAATAGGATGCACCAAAAAAAATAGTTACATTAATAATTCAATTATTTGCAATAATATGAGTTGTAAGTTTCTTTTTTGATTAATATACCAAATGCTTATTAAAATTTAACACATCATTGTCTTTTTGAAATAATGTTTTGTTCAAACCTACGTTTCATTTATTATCGTTAATTAATAAAAATTTGATTTTCATCTATTTACCGAATAGTAATAATAATTTAATAACAATAATTTCTTCCAATTTTTAAAAATTACTAATATAATTATTAATTTAAAATATTTTGATAAATTTTTCTTTCTTTGAAACTTTTTTAATTTATTTTCAAATTCATTTTTTCATTTATTCACTGAGTTTTGAAATTAAAAATTTTAAATTCTTAATTTATTCAGAATTAACACAAAAAAATATAGCACTGGAAAAAAATTTATTTGATTCAAATAACCGATTACTTGACTATTATCAATTAAATATTTAATTGAATCAAATAATATTTATTGGAGTCAGTTAAATGGTTCAGTTCATATTTGCTTCAAATACTGAAATTATTGGTTCAAATACCATTTAATTGTCTCTAATAAATATTATTTGATTCAAGTAAATATTTAATTGGTAATAGTCAATTAATCTGTTATTTCAATCAAATAATTTTTGTTCATACATTTTTTTGTATATTATATAAATAATATATAAAATATTTTTTATAAATATAAATATTAGAATATAAAAATTTAGCTATTCAGCGAAAAATTGCAGACTTTCGATTGTTTTTTTGTCGATAAAAGTTTGGATGATCTTCTTTTTAGAAATTTTCTGTTAATTTTAAATGATGATTTTTTTCATGTGTGATACACGGGAAAGAGAAAAGATGTTCGTGTTTTATAGTAATTTACAAGAATATAATGATCTGGATAGTTATTAAGCGCTCTTTATTGATCGTCGTTAACATACAAAATGTGAGTGTATGTGTAAGTTTCGTGACGATATACCGCTTTCTTTAAAAAAATAAAAACTAAAAAGATAGGAAAACAGTTCGCTTTTCGTCGTAAATCAACGTTAGTAAAGAAAAAGAAAATGTCTAAAAAAAAATTCATTCTCAGATACTCTTTATTTTCGAAGAAAAGTAGAGAGAAAACTCTTTATTATAAAACAAAAATGGAAAGATTAAAACAAACAAGTTTATATTACAATATTTTCATTCCTTGTTTCGAAAAATTTTTGTCTTTCATTTTCATCTTCATTAATTTTTCCAATTATTTAAAAAAAAATTTTTATCAGAAAATTTATTGTCGAAAAACAAATAATGAATATTTCTTTACTATTCAAATATCTTAATTTAATTTTATTAAAAATCGAAGTAAATTATAACTGAAATTTTTTTTTTTGATAAAATTCATTGAAATAATAGTCTAAATAAATAAAAAAAATTTAATTACATCCAAATGTGTCTAAATAAGAATTTTGTTAAACAATCGAATTCTGCCAAATTTAAATCAAAGTAGACAAATTTTGTTATCGAAGAATAATTATTAAATAAAAATTCATCTAAATAGACAAAAGTTTTTAAATTTATCCAAATGAATCTTAATAGAAGTTTTATTAATAAACGAAAATTTTGGTAAATTTGAATTAGAAAAGATAATATTTTTCACTCGGAAAATAATTATTAAATAAAAATTCGTCTAAGAAGATAAAAATTCGTAATTATATCTAAATGTTTATAAATATACAAGTTTTATCAGTAAATGTAAATTCTGCTAAATTTAAATTAAAATAGAAAAATGTTGTTAATCGAAAAATAATTATTAAATGAAAATTTGTCTAAATAGACAAAAATTTCTAAATTTATCCAAATGAACCTAAATAGAAGTTTTATCAATAAATGAAAATTCTGCTAAATTTGAATGAAAATAGTTAATTTTTTTCACTCGGAAAATAATTATTAAATAAAAATTCGTCTAGTAAATAAAAATTTACAATTTTATCCAAACATTTTTTTTCCAATTATCGAATTGGAAATTATAGTAATAAATCAAATTCCTCTAAATTTAAATTCGAATACATAATTTTTTTTACTCGAAAAATTTAATGAATTCAGTTAAATAATAATTCGTCTACAAACAAATTATCTTTAGTAAAAATTCGATTCGGGAAAAATTTAGTTTCCATGAAAATTGAGTCTTTGAAAATGTTGTTTAAATTTGTTTGAATACAAAATTTAGATATAAAATATTGTCTCGAAAAATTGAACAATTGTGAAAACATTTTTGTTGTTAGGGAATATTCATGAATCATTAATTTCTCATTCTATGAGTAGTAAACAATTACGAGCGGAATTTTTGAATAAGCAAAAAGGAAATTGATCGACGTGTGTCGTTAAATTTTCGAACCGATTTATATGCATTGAGTCCTTTAGTTTATGGAACTATATAATAGTCCACGAAATGGGCCTTTAACACGCAAAATAAATCCCTTTAATATATACCCACCGATCTCATATTCACCTGAAAAGGCATTGTGCGAAGCTGAGAAATACTGTTTTGCGATACGAAAAAGCATATACATATTCCCAAGGAAATGGAAACTTTTTATTCAGCAAAGAAGAAGAAGAAGAAGAGGAGGAGGAAGCAGAAGCAGAAGAAGAAGAAGTTGATATAAGAACGTAATTTGAGATTCAGAAAAAGGGTTTGAAAAATATATAGGAAATTGAATTCTTGGACTTCTTTTGATTTTATCGTCAACTTAAAGAGCTTTTATTCAATTTTATATATTAGTCGTTACTGTGGATTCAAAAGTCTTCAATTCCATGAGAAATTGTCCGGGGATTTTAATTATGCATTTCGTTGCGAAATAAGGGAAAAGAATTTTTTTTTCTTCTTTTTTTTTCAAACACAGTTGTGAGTAAAGTAGCTTATGTATTTACTTTTCTCAAACGAGAAATCATCATTTGAGACGAAAAATTTTTTTTCTTCCCTTGAAGCGAGAAATTCAAGAGTCTAACTATATACATTTATACTGAGAGAGAAAGAGAAGCTGATTATCTTAAAAGGGTCTGTCGTTTATTTAGAAGTATTAGTTTAGTTTACTCTTATATTTCTGGGCCATTAGGCTTTAGATTTTTAAATCCTCTTCTTCTTCAAGATTTTATTCTCTTGCAATAAAAGAAATTAGAAGAGATGTGCGAAAAGAGGGAACGATAATGCAGGATCGATACACTTTTTTTCTGCAATTTATCATTTTTTTCCTATAAAAAAAAAGGGAAGTCGAGAAAAAATTTTTCTTGGTTCGTAAAATTAAAAATACAAAGTTAACTTGAAGATGAAAAAAAAATTGCATTGTTTTTTTAAAAGTATTTTTACAATAACCGATAATCACAATAAAAATTGTAATCAAAATTTAAATTTTCGACAGAAATTCAGATTAAATAATTAAAAAGAAATGTACTTGAAAAAATTTTTCGTTTTTTGGTTACAAAAAAAAAAATTTTTGCGTCTCTCTTGCTTTTTATAATTCGTATCAGTTTGCTTCGCTGATTCAAGATCTTATTGAAGTTATACTTAAAGCAAATAGCAAAAGATGTTTGCAGTTCTCTTATCATTACTTAAAACCAAGAGGCTTTTCAGTACACAGACATGCAATTTGATTTATTTGCTTAGTAGTTAAATTCGAATGAATTACAATCTCGAAAGTAAACTGTAAATAATTATTAATTATTAATTATTTAATATTTATATCAATTAAATTTTTACCCAACTACATTTCTACTTGATGGAATTTCGGTAAAATTTCTATTTCTATTTCTATTTTCATTTTCTATAATTTCTACTCCATTTCTAATTCCTGTGTATAAATTTTTAATTAACAAAATTTTTATTCGCTTGATAACAATTGCCACATGTAATTATCAACAAAATTTTTTTCACAATTAATTATCACACACAAAAACTTATAATTTATTTTGTGTAATAATAATTGAAGTTTATATGAACTTTTTTTTGTCTTTGTTATATAAAATCGTAAAATGAGTTTAAAAATAAATTTTCGAAAAAAATGATGATGAAAATGGAAAGAGTAAATTTTTTTTTGAAGGGTATATTTATTGGAGAGCTCGTCGGATCGGATATTCATTTCACGGTCAAAATACAGACATTGGTCTCTGCTTCCTGTATATCTTTTTCATGTGTTTTCCCTTTATCTCTGACGATATATCCCAATATCCTAGTAATTTCGCGTTCATATATATTTTTTTTCACAAGATGACATCATCCCTCAAAAAAATATTCACCTTCGATTTTGTATCACAATACTGAAATTATATTGGCAATCGATCGAGATGAAATATAAGCCCGAGGGAGCTGCTGCTTTTCATGTTATCACGGCGCAATAAACGATGAGCGAAAATCAGTTTATTGTCAAATGTATGATCATAAAATGGAAATACATCGATTTAACCCTTTCCAACAATCTTTTCGCTCTTTTCCTTTTCATTAATGTTTATTCCATTTTTTTTTTGTTTAAATATTTATATAGAAAATTGTTACTTAAATTTGCAGATTTTTATATCGAGAAGTAGAATAATTTTTAGATATTTTGATCGTAATTATGGTGAGTTGCTATTTTTTCGAATGATAGAAATTCTATCAGTTGAAAATAAAAAAATTTTCTCTTCTTTTCCGAATTGATCCCAAATATTGTATATTAATAATGATGCAAAAATAATTGTTTGTATTACGAAACATTTTTTTTTCGCATTGATCACAAATATTGTATGTATATAAATAATGATGGAAAAATAATTGTTTGTATTATAAATTTTAAATCTAAAAGAAATGAATTTTTAAGTTTGAAAACATCGAAACAAAAAATATTTTAAGGTTTTTATATTTAAATTTGTCACAATGAAAAAAATTTGTTTTTAAGGTCACAAAGGTCAATATACTCCTTTCCTTAACGAAACTCAATAAATAATTTATGAAAAAAGTGACTACGCGTGTATTTCAAAATTCGGCGAATTATTTCATGTTACTGAGAATATCATTAGTAATCAACAAATTGTTAACAAGCAATGTCGCTCGATTTTCATATGATTAAGTCAATTGCTCTTGTATAATAAATAAAAATGTTTTACTGAAGTATTCAAATTTCGTTAGTATCGTTATTTTTATTTATTTATTTTTTTGATAAATAAATGATTCTGTTATTTAAAACTACAAATATTTTATATAAAAAATGACTGCTACCAAAACTGATCAAAATTCTGTTAAAAAATCAAAAATTGGTCCCTTTCAGTTTAAAACACAACCGGAATATGTGTATTCAACTGCTATTATCATCGGATATTTTATTACTATCTATGGACTTTTTACTTTTCCGTATAGTTTGTCAAAGAAGACTATTTTGTGGAGTAAGTATTTTACGAATTTAAATTTTCAAATTGTAAACATAATGGAAAAACTCACCATGAATTTTGAGACGAGAAACCTGAAAAATGTGAAAAGTTTATTAATTTCTTCGAATAGTCAATAGCCGTTAAAATTAATTTGAAAAACTTGAAAGAATTATATGAAAAATAATATATTAAAAAAAATTTAGTTGTAATTTTGATTATTTTAATTATTTTAATTTTGATTATTTTAAGTAATTTCAATTAATTTAATGCAATTATTTAACAAATTTTTAATTTAGTTATTTTCGGTAAATAAAAAAAAAATTTACATGTTTTGTTGATCCATTTTTTGGCGATTGTAGATTTCGCCATAGGACTTTTTGCGAAATTTGGAGAAACCGCTGGTGTTCATCGTCTATGGAGTCACAGATCTTATAAAGCGAAACTTCCTCTCCGAATATTTCTTCTTTTGTGTTATTACCTCACTTTCTGGGTAACTAAAAAATAAATTTGACAAAAATTAAAAATTAAATTTGACAATACAATCATTTTACAAATAGAAATAAAATAGAAAATAAAAAATAAACAATAAATTCAAACTTATATTAATTACATTTATATTAATACAAATTGTATTATTATCTATATCTTAATCTATAAAAAATTAATTAAAAATTTTTAAAAGTTAAAATAAAAAATACTTTCTTTGTAGTAGAAAGATAAAAATAATTAAAACAAAAATAATTAAAAAAATTAATGAAAAATAAAAATAAATTAAATATGCAGCACCTAATTGAATAACATATTACAACAAGAAATTACAAATGAACTTTTAATTAGGTCTTAATGAATTATTTATATATTACGTTTAAATTTAAATTTGAAATTTTTCCTCAATTGTTTCTTTTTCAGTATAAAGCTATTGATTGGATAAAATTCCATCGAGTACATCACAAATATACGGACACTGATGCAGATCCACATAATACAAAACGGGGATTTTTTTACTCACACGTAGGATGGATTATGTTAAAAAAACATCCGGAAGTTAAAAGGCGTATTAAAGAACATGATTTTAGTGATATTTATAATGATCCTGTGTTAACGATTGGAGAAAAGTAAGTAAAAATGTAGGGAATTTATTTCACATTTAAAATTTTATTTTTAAAAAATTTTCCTTCAATTAATAAAATTAATAAAAAATAATTCAAAACTCAGATATTCAATAAAATATGAAACAAAATTATTTAATTTTTTCTATTTGAAACTTTACGTGAATTTTTATTTAAAATATTTTGAAATTCTATTTTTTTAATATTAAAAATAGATAAATATTAAAAAAAATATTAAAAATACTATTCTCAAAATTAAAAATTTTATAATTTATATAATTATATTTATTTAATAATAATTTCAGTTTCATTTTTTCTAAAGTACATATTTTCTGATTTGTTGAATCGTAACGAAATAAAATATTTCTATAATGACCGATCAAAATATATTGAATAACAAAACGATCATTTGAAAAGGTATTTTATTCCGCTTGGACTGACATTGTCCATCATTATTCCTACACTTGTGCCAGTTTATTATTGGAATGAGACCTGGAAAACTGCACTGTGGGCTGTATTTTTGCGATATTCAATTGGAGCTAATGTTACCGGGACCATAAATAGTTTCGCACATTTCTATGGAAACAAACCATACGATAGGTAATTATTTTCTCAAATACTACATTTACATTTTTTTCCAATTATAGAAAAAATTCAAACCTCGAATCGACTTTAGAATCCAAAAAAAAAGTCATTTTAATCAATTCAAATAACGAAAAAAGGTGAAAAATTCGTTTATTTTAATCAGATTCTTTTATAAAAATAAAATAACGAATAAAAAAAGGGCTTTTTGAAAATTTGTGAGAGAAATGTCGAAATAGTCATAGTTTTATTTAAAATAAATATTTAATCATTATTATTTTTCCGGAAGAATTAAAATTCTTCAAAACATTCAAATTATTTTCATCATTTCAATTCAATTATTATTTTTTAGAATTTTCAACTAAAATTCTTCTACATATAAATTATTTAGAATGATTTTTGAAAATTTTCAAATCTGTTTATAATTCAATTTTACGAAAATTCATCGATTATTCGAAAATTCTACAATTGTTATATTAGAAAATAGAAACTTGAAATGATTTTTAAAAAAATCCAATTAAACTTTTTCAAAAAAATTAATTCTACAGAATTGTTAATTAAAAATAAGAAAAATTTAGAGTTTCAAAGATTTTAATTTGAAACCTTTTTAAAATTCAATTATTTCTAAAAATTTACGCTTTAATGCTTTTAATATTCAATTATCTAGAATTTCAACTGATATTAATTTTTAAATCAATTTTTATTAGAAAATTCTACGAGAATTCAATTATTTAAATACAAAAATAAATAATTTACTGAATAATTAAATTCTTTTTAAAATTGAATTCTCATAAAGAATTTTATCAACAAATTTTTAAATAATTTAATTCTTTCGACGAATTTTAATAAAATTTTTAAGAATATAATTACATTTTTCGAGGAATTCGATTAAAATTATATTAAAATTGTGCGATGAGTTTTATTGTTCATGAAACAAAATTGAATCCCTATAAAAAATTTTATTTTAATGATAAAAATTGAATTATTGCGAAGAAATTTATAAAACAAATTTGTAAATAATTGAATTTCTTTGAAATTTTTATTATTTATGAAAATAATAATTTGCGTCGAATTTTATTCAAATTTTTTTGTTTTTGAATAATTGAATTCTTTTGGAAAACTTTATTAAAATAGTAGATATTGAAAATAACTTAATTGAGGAAAATTTTTGAAAATAATTGAAATTTTGACAAGAATTTTATAAAATTTATAAACATAATTGAATTTCTATGAAGAATTTTTTTACTATAGAAAATAATTGAATTTCTACAATCATTCTTCATTAAATAATTAATAAGTAATAATTTTATGATAGTTGTTCAAGGATTAAGTTATTTAAAAAGAAATATTATCAGAATTAGTAAAAATTGAGGGATTTGTATTAGAATTCGTGGTAATTTCGTAGTTTGAGTCAAACAAAAAAAATCACCAAAATCCAGATTTTTTTTATACTTTCTAAAAATTCAATTTTTTCCAGTACTTTTAATAAAAATTCCTGACTTTTCCCTAAATTGTAGCAACCCTGTTATATATTAATTTATACGCACCGATTTTTTTCCAGGGACATAACGTCGGTTGAGAACAGAATATTGTCGATAATAACATTGGGCGAAGGATGGCATAATTATCATCATGTATTTCCCTTCGACTATAAAGCAGGAGAACTTCCAATTTATCCCTTCAATATGACAACATTATTTCTTGATATGTTTGCAAAAATTGGATGGGCTTATGATTTAAAGACAGCCTCGGCTGAAATGATCCAGAAACGTGTCAAGAGAACAGGCGATGGCACTCATCATCTCTGGGGTTGGGGCGACCAAGATCAATTGCCTGAGGAAAAAGAACAAGTCATTATCACACATCAATCAAAATTAAATCACTAATTACAATTTCAGCCGATAATTATCAATTTTTTTGAAAGAAAGCAAATAATTGTCACCATTTAAATTATAATTGAGAATTTTGAATTTCAAAAAATACGAGAATAAAAGTTTTTGAAAAATTTTTTTCTCCTTAAAAAGAATTATTTTATATTCGCGCATGAAAGGATAAAATTTGAGTCTAGATAGAAAAATACGTATCTGTATATATTTATATATAAGACTTGATAATATATACACATAACATGCTGGATTGTATATATAAGTTTAGAAGTGAAGCTTTTTCCAAGCCGTTGTGCAAACTTCGGGGGAGATATGTTTGTAAGCCGAGTTGACACTTCTCATCTCCTCATTCCTCTCTCTCTCCTCTTGGACGTTATCCTTCTGGCATGGCATTCATGGTTATAGTAACTATATAAATTGATAAGATTCATACTTGGTGACGGGTATTCAGCTCTATTCAGAATCGATTTACTTCTTACTGCGCTACTGTGTTTCATAATATTGGGTGTATTATGTAGGTGAATCTACTGTGAGAGAGATATTTCATATACAGATATTTCATTTAGTTCACTTTGTCTGGTGTAATGTATAATAGTTCCTCTTAAGAGAGTGGTGAACCTTCCTCTTTAATCAGTAAGCCTTTGGGACGCAACCCTTCCGGAGCTTATATTGTTGAATACCGTGACTTTCTTGCGACTCCGCATACTCAATTCTCCCAATTACTCAAAGCATACCAATGATACAGTCACTGAACGTGTTTATTTTTTCAATTCTCTCTCTCTCTCTCTCTCTCTCTCTCTCTCTCTCTCTCTCTCTCTTAGTCAAAACCACTATTATTTGTGACGAAAGCTTCACTAGAATTGGATGCTGTAAAAGAAATTTATGTTAATTTATTGAAATCGGAAAAAAAGTTTACAATTTTCATATTTGATATATATTGGAAACTATTTTATTTTATTTATTGAAATAAATAATTGAAACTATTATTTTATTAATTACAATTTAATTTCGAAATTACAGACTCTGCAATCAAATAATTAATTTTTAAAAATTAGCAAATAAAGAAATCTAATCTAATCTAAAGAGTAGCTATCGAAAAATTAAACTTGACGATCAAAAAAACTTGTTTTAGAAACTTCACAAAACTGACAAAAATTCCATTCTATATTTTATTTTCCTCACTTTTTCCTAATTTTCATGAAAAATATTTACTTCCTGCTAATAAATTGAATTCCTGCTACGAATTTTATAATTCAAGAAAGAATTTAAATATTTATAAAAATAATTTAATTCTTGTGAAGCATTTTAAAAAAGATTTTAAATAATTCATTTCTTTAGAATAATTTTATGCACATTCTAATTTAAATAATTGAATTCCTGAGAAACTTTTATTATTCATAAAAAGAATTGAATTCTTACAAAGATTTTTACAAAAAAAATTTTAAATAATTGAATTCTGTTTGGAAATTTGATGAAAATAGTAGATATTGAAAATCATTGAATTGCGAAAAGTTTTTAAAAATAAACAAAGAATTCTATTAAAATATTTGACAATAATTGAATGTAACTCAAACTGAAAATAATTTTAAAATAATTCTCAAATAACTGTATTTTTTCATTTCATCTGTGAAATATAAACAAGACTCGTGCCTACATTGATTTTTCTGTAAAAAATACCTCTCTGTACATTAAATGGTCTCAAAGTCGAATTTTACGATTGTAAAATTTTCTTGCTTGAATACAATTCAATTCCTAAAAAGCATTTTATTATTTATGAAAATAATTGAATTTTGCAAAGAATTTTATTAAAATGCCTCAAAATAATTGAATTTTCGGGAATAATTTTATTATTTATCGAAATATGTAATTGAATTCTTACAAAGAATTAAAAAAAAAACATTTTTTTAAATAATTGATATTTTCGAAGAATGAAATTAAATTTTTAAGAATAATTAACATTTTCTGAGCATTTCCTGTAAATTTGGATTAAAAATAATTGAAATTCTGCGATGAATTCTATTATTTATGAAAATAATTGAATAGCTGCTAAGAGTTTTATTAAAATTTTCAAAAATAAATAAAATTAGAGAAGAATTTTAATATTTATGAAAAAATTGAATTTTGCAAAGAATTTTATTAAAATTGCATCAAAATAATTTAATTTTCGGGAATAATTTTATTATTTATCGACATAATTGAATTCTTTTAAAGAATTATTTATGCAAATAATTGAATTCCTGTGAAAAATTCTAATATATTTGTAATTAATTGAATTCTTCCAAAGAATTTTGAAAAAATATTTTTTTCAAATAATTAATTTTTCCGAGAAATTGCAAATTAAATTTTTAAGAATAAGAAATACGAGAAATACTTTTGAAAATTTTACTAACCTCAAAATTTCTTTTCCGGTCACTTATACAATTTGTTTTATATTTCTCTCATGTTCTGCTTCAATTCCAACTAATTAAATATTATTTAATCGATTTTAATTCTTTTTCGTTCTTCCTCCATTGTAACAGAAAATAGAATGCACGTTGTTTATTTATTTCTTCAACACTGTATCACTTGTCGTCAACGGACATATTTGTTGACATAGGAAGTGGAAAACAATGTGGACAAAATTTCTTGCAATAGCCAATCAGAATTAGGAGAGTCGATTCAAGGCGATATGTATCTAACAGATTGACACTTGCCTAACTTCACTCAGTTGGACGCCATGATTTTAGAGTTTTAGAGGGATAACATCAAGTTCAGTTATTCGATGTTTTTCATTTTTCTTTGAAGAAAACGAATAAAATAGTAAAAAATGATCGAGTTTTTCTATAAGATATGAAGAATCAAAAAGTTTTGTCATATGGGTGAATATTTTGAGTTATCATGCGCGCAGGGAATGAAAATATTTTCTCCCGGCTAGTTCTGCTGTTACCGCGCAAATACGTATAATTATTACGAATTTCTCTTTATTTAAAAGAAAATTCTGATATATTGGAATACGTTAATAGTTTGTAGGAATATCTTAACAGCTTGTGAAACATTTTTTTGATACAGTCATTGGAAAATTGGAAGCGAATATTGATTATACGAATTTTTACATACATAACCTCAAAATTTCCCTATTTACATCAAACACGTTCATTTTTGCAATCAAAAGGATAAAAAGTTATGGGAATTTTATTCAACCTCGTCGAATAAAATAAAATGGAAAAGGAATGGTTTTCGTAGCAAATGCTAAGGATAAGGAGTTAAAAGGATTTCTTTAAATGATGAATTTATACTTCAAAAAAAGTGAGTTTTTCAAATTTTTGCAAATTCTTTCCAAACATTAAGTTTTCAAACATTTCTTTATTAAATTATATATTTAAATACCTAAATACTAAAAGACAAATTATTTATATGCTCAAAATTCGTATATATTTTGAGTATATAATAGTGATTGTAAGCTTATTTCTTGTTGATTTATGTAATTAAAGTTTGTAACAAAAACTTGTCAACATTTTCCCGAGACATGTTGATGAATTACACGAAATTGTCTTAGCTCGTCATTGTTACTTTGTGAAAGTCGATTATAGAGCAGGAGTTAATGGTTCATGGTAAACAGCAGGTACTTTGATGATGAAGATATTAATTTCCCCCTAAGATAATTAATTGCCAAGAAATACTTTATTCCTTTAGAAAAGCATATATTTTGATACATCTTCAAAACTATTTATAATCTTTGCAATTTCTTCATCAAACTTATCAGTTTGTAATTTATAATCTAAAGTTTCAACATCAATTTCAGTATATAATTAAATTTTATAAGAAAATATTAAATTTTAAAACGATCAAATCTCATGCGCTTAATAATTAATATCGAATTTAAATTAATATTACAATTATAAGTAATCAAAAATAATTAATTTAAATTGATAAAATTTTCTCGTGGTATTAAATTGATAGATTAAGTTTTGATTTACCAAATTTAATAAAATTTACTGATAAAAGTAATTTCAATTTATTTTCTAAATTGCATTTGTAAATTGAGAATTTTTTACCTTCGGGACAAATTAAAAATGCAGAATACAGGGAATTGATGTACATAATTAAAAATAATTTAAAAGTCCCTTTGATTAAAATCGAGCAGTCATCTTGAGTTGAATTCAGCATCTCTTACTCAGTAGCTTCATCCGCTTTATAAAGTCTTTGAAATAGAACCGAACCACCAGGTCAACTATTGTCTCTTATTGATTTTCTAACTACCTCTCCATCTCATTATTCATATAATCCACTAATTCAATGAATATCTAAAAGCTCTGTTATCCCTTTGATTTTACTGAAAATATAAATTTTTTGCCCTCTTTTTCTTTAATTCGAATTATTAACAATTTGTTATTTTTGGAGTCTTTTTTTGAATTAAAAACTATGGAAACAAAAATATAAACAAAAATTAATAAAATTAATAAAAATACAAATAAGATTAAAAAAAAGAATAATTAAAATATTATGACGGAAAATTTTATTATTTATTAAATGAATTATTAAAGTTGAACAAAAATATATGATTAAACAATCGGATGTAATTAAAAATATAATTGAAAATTCTTGGCAAACTGGTGGGAATAATAAATTCGATTTTAAGAGAGGTGACACAAAACTTTAAGTGAAATATCGAGGAAAAGTTTTTAAGAGAAAAGTACACACTTTACTGTGAATTATATACCTTGACTTGTTAATTGTTGAAACTACTTAAGTTAGGCGTGAATATTGTTATATATAGTTAAACGAGAATATACAGGAAGCACACCTTATAAATTAATCTTAATGAGAATTGAATTTTGCACTCGTTTCAAATTCTCATGAACGAGTTTGTCGACAGTTTATATGTCAAAACTTTTTTTTTTTTTTATTTGACTATTGAAAAACACTCAGTAACTCAACTCAATTTTTTTTCTGACAAAGAGAGAGAGAGGGAGAGAGTGAGAGAGTAAAATAGAAAACTAGGCTACAGTTTTATTCGGTTTCAAAAAGGAATTTAGAGGGAAAAATAAATGTATTTTAAAATGCTCGTAGGTATTCGAAAATTTGTGAATAAAATTTATTTTTTAACAATATTTTTTCGGATATAGGAATAAAAAGTACAGCA